ATATATCAATATTTTTTTTTTGGTTTCTAGAAAATATTTACATTATATTTAGAAGTATATACTCAAGCTTTTGCCATTTAAAAAAAATTCTCTACCATTTAAATGGGTTTGCTTCGCTCTATTTTTTTAAAATTATTTTTTAATTTTGATTCCAAAAAATAATAACAAAAAATACAAAATATTTTACACAAAAGTTTAAAAGTTAAAAAAAAAAAACTTCAAATACTCCTTATAGAAAGTCAAAAAATTATTATAAAAAATAAAAAAAATCAAATATTCAATATAAAATAATATATTTTATATTTTTGACACAATTCTCTGTATCACACACAAAAAATTATTTCATCTTAAAACTCTGGATGAACAAAGCCGTTATATCTTCAGACAGATAGGTGTATTCACACATTTTTATTTTTATTTTTTTAACATGCTTTTTAAAATATATAATATTTATTATTCTACAAAATATAACAATTCAATATAAAATACTGATATGGTTGTTGCTAATAAATGTTAGTTGCATAAAAATGCAAAATACAATATAGTAGTGGTGTGTAGAGTCGTTTCTACAGCAAGCAATCAAGATTTGACAACTAATAATTTATAATTATATATATATATATAAAAGAGGGAATTTGAGATTTGATTTAAGGAAAATAATTCAAATTAGAAAAAAAATAAACTAAGTTAAAATATAATCAAATACCAAAATGAACTAAACTCTAGACTAGGCATGAATTTCTGTTTGGGTTATGAAAATTTGTTCATCGACCGACAACCATAATCAAGTTTATTGGTTTATCGGATAAATTGGTTATAGTTGATCTACACGCGTTCACGACCAACGTTTCCTTACTTTGTCGATAGCTAAGGTACGGCCGTTTGAGTGAAAATCTTAGGTACGACCGTAATATTGCTGACTCGACAACATTGAGAACTAAAAAAACTCAATTCAATTTAACCAAATTTGTACGAAGAGTTGTTCGAAATTGATTTTAATTCCTCCATAGAGTATTCTTCCTCTACCTCAAGATTGCTACTTTAATTGAAAGATTACACAATTACAGGTGTCAATCCTCAATATAGCTATGAAATATCAAACTAATACATGACCACAAATATACTCAATACCAATAAACATCAAAATTAAAATCAAAACCAAGTCTCACAAATTCATATCCAAACTTTAATTCATACCTAAACTAGAAAATAAATTACTCACAATCCATGAAAATCGAAAATGCAAAGCAAATAAATAAGTTCATCATGCCTTCAATATTTGGAAATCGACAACAAACTAATTCTAAAAATGAAGAAGAATCCCTTCAAAGTTTGTATGTCCTGCTCCATGGAGTTCTATGCACCGTGTCCTTTTTCCTTTGTGTCTTCCTCCCTTCAAGAAGTAGCGATGTGGGTGAGAACTGATGATGCATTTCTTCTTCCTCTTCAATTGCCTCTCACTTTCTTTTTAATTTTCAATCATGGATCTCCTTTGCAATTAAATTATACATCTTTTAACTCCGGGAGACTTCTTTGGAATTTTCAGTTCCTACTTTGTGTTGTACTTGTGTGATCACGCTTAAAGTTTTCCTGCATTCCGTTCTTTTTCTTTCAAATATGCCGAAAATTTGTCAAACTCCGTTAAATCTATTACACAATTAAAAATATACAATGAGAAGTAAATATACAAAATTTCTTATCTAAAAGTTGCCCAAAATATAGCACATATTAGTTGTATTACAAACACAATTCATCATGTTTGTGTATGTTTGTTTTGCAAGAAAGAGTAAACTTATGTTGTATTTGGTACAAAGAGTTGACAGTAGATAATGAAAATATTTATATTTCTCTTATTTGTTTGATTAGAGAAATAGATATTATAAATAATTTTTTTTTATTTTTTTATTTTCATTTTTCTTTCATATTTTTTATTTTTTTGTATTATTTAATTTTTTATAATATTTTTAAAATTATATTATTTCAATTTTACAAAAATCACATTTAATTTATTATTCACGTATTTAATTTTTACAAATTTTCAAAAAACTATAGTAAAATTTGATTTTAAAAAACATCGTATATAATTTAAACAAAAAAAGTCACAAAGAATATATTTTTATAAATTCTCATTCATTAAAACTCTCTTTTACCCGATTAATTATATATTCTTATTCGATCCATTCACAAAATTTTCTTTTACATTTCTAACTGAATTATCTGTTTTACCAAATAAGAAAATTAATTTTCATTCTAATGAATTTCTTTTCTATACAATTTCATTATCTATTCTCATTTATGTAGTTTCATTCTTTGTACCAAACTCTCCCTTAAATTTCTTCAATCTCATATAAAATATTTCATTTGTTTTTTTACTAGATTAAAATATATATATTTCCTCAATCCAAAGAGTAAACTTTAAGTTTCACCATTTTAGTATGTCAAAATCAAAACTTATCATTTCGGTTTGTAGTAAAAATAACTGTTAACTAAATATCAAAATATCTTTACTTTTTATTTTTTTACATTACTTCTAGTTAATGTCAATGGCAAAATAGACTTACATTATTTAATTACACTATATATTTATAAAATACTAATTTATTTTAATCCGTGTATAAAGGTCAAATGAAAATTTTATCGAAGAAGTATTAGTTAGCAAGTGTGTGTAAGACAAAAAATTTAAAATACCTTTAAATTTAGTAGGATAAAAAATAAAATATGTGATGGTATTTTAGTAAATAAAACTAAAAGTAACGATAACATGATAATTAAATAGAAATCACGTATACTATAAATGTCAAACTCTTGTAAATCAAAATACGTTTTGAAGTTTGGCCGGAGGTTTACTCAGTGCGCACTTTCGGTAGCGATTACGGATTCTTATGTCATAATAAAAAAATAAAAAAAAACGTTTTGAAGAAAAATTTTAATAAAATATTCAAATTCAAACTCAAACTCCTAAATTATAAATGATACAATATAAATAAGACTGATGAGATATATATTGTTTAAATTATTGTTTGTTATTATTAGATTTTATATCTTTTATTTGAATTTGTGTTCAAATGGAATTTTGATGTAATATATTAAAAAATAATAATTTGTTATGACACATCAAGTATCATGATAGGTGTCATTCAACCGATTATTGATGTGTTTTATTTATACATTGCCATCTAATGTAATAGGTGACTAATCTCTACAATCGAGACCTATATTCCATTAGATGATAATGACATATAAGGATAGTCACGGTTACATTATTTGTAAATATGCCGGTATTTGATATTCAAATTAAATCGAACAAATACTCGAAATTGCGAACTGTATTCAAACTGAAAATTTCGATTAATCGAACCGAAATAATTGCAATATTTATAAATAATTTGAACCGAAATAAATAATGTTGAAATGTTTTTATTTATAATCCTATAAAATGAATAATGTTGAAATGTTTTTGGAACAAACAAACCCTAAGAATTTTAAGTGTAATATAAATGTTTACTTTGATATTTTTATAAAAAAATATTTAATATTTCTTTCGTTACAACTCAATATATTATTTTTATTGTCTCACTCAAAAATATTTATTTTTAATAATAATAAAATTAATCAAATTTAAATACTTCATCCATCCTTATCTATCTATTTTTTTTTTCACGGAGTTTTAGGAATATTAGTAGTATATTAAAATGAAGTAGAAATAAAAGTACATGATTGTACTAACCTTATTAGTATTATATGATATAAAAATAATGTCATTTGTATAATATATTGTAAATTATAAGGATATTTGTAATGTTAAGTAGATATTACCGTTACTTTAAAAAAAAAAGAAATATATACTTTATTATGAGACAGACCAAAATAAAAAAATTAATAGATTGTTAGGAGTATCGTATATTCCTTATTTTACAGAATATTCATTTTTTATATGAATAAAAATATTATAATTATCTTGTATTTTTATTAATTAATAAAATATTTGTTTGTTTTTTTTACTCTATCTATCCGCTTGTAAGAGTTATATTTATTTTTTTTTGTAATTGTACTTAATATTAAAAACATTTTTATATTTGTATAATTTAAAAATATCATTATATTAGTATTATAAAACACTAATATAAGTATTTTTGTCATTTTTTACTATATTTTGATATAATAATTTGTATTGAAAAATTAGTACATAAAAACTAAATGCTGCCATTAGATTAAAGTAGCACGAGGATAGTAATATATTTAAAAAAAGATAATTTGAAATTGGAATGGAAAGAATATGATTTTAAATAAGCAAAAGATTTATGATAACATATAGAGACATTTGAGATTGACATGATAATTGAAAAATATAATACTCTTTCCGTTGCAATACAATAGTCTTGTTTACCATTTTTGTCCGTTTCAAAACAACAGTCTTATTTTCATAAATAACCATATCATTATAAAATTATCATTACTTTTTCATTATTATTACACAATTGCCACTTTTTTTTTTTACACTAATACACTCACAAGAGCAAAAAAAGTCCTTTAGTCATACTTTTTACTCACTATAAATATAATATCAATATTCTTTAAATCTCATGCCAAACGTAACCCAAACTATATTTGTGAAATGGAGGGACTAATATTATATTGATAGTGACTGTAAAAATATTTGAAAATACCAAAATATTCATACTTTATGTAATTATCGTAGAAAATGGAGATAATTTAAAAAGAGGAAAATAGAGTATGTATTATTGATAAGTATTAGTAAAATATAAAGTAAACATTAGCCTAAATTAAACTATATTTTCTATAAAGAATTTTAATTATTTTTTTAATTATTTTTTTATTATTTTTTTTTTCCAACATTAGAAATAAGGATCTCAACTGTTGTTAGTCAATTATTATTATTATTATTATTATTATTATTATTATTATTATTATTTCCCTTTAAATTTGGCGTTGTCCTTTTTGGTCTGTAAATTTTCGCCTTTACTTTTATATTTATATTTATTTTCTTTTGTTAGCTGATAAACAACGCAGTCCTCTCCTCCTCCTACAAATAGAGAACCCCCAAATTCGACGCCTGCAAATCGAAATTCTGATGGCGGATCAGTTGACGGACGACCAGATCTCCGAGTTCAAGGAGGCCTTCAGCCTCTTCGACAAGGATGGCGATGGTTCGTTCCTCTTTTCTCCTTCTTTTATCCTATGTTCGATGCGGATTTTTGTGTTTCTGTTCCAGATCTGGTTGAAACTGATTGGGTATTTTCCCGTCCGTGTCGAAATTTTGTGCGTCTGTTTGGATTGGTTGAATTTAATGGCGTCTGATGCTCGATTCGGATTTGCTTTTAAGAAAATTGGAAGGAATTGCTTCATTTTCCGCTTTGAATTTAATGGCCTGTGATGTGAGATTGTAGGGTTGTTTCTAATCGCGTGTTGGCCTGAGAATTGACGAGATGTGCTATGGTTTATGGTTAAGATGATTAATCGTAGATTGAGGCATCATCGATGTTTCTAGTCGAACTGTCTGTTAATTGATTAGGTCATAAACATGTCCGATTATAGATGGAAATTTTTAACAGAGAAGAGGCAGGTAATCTGTGATTTGATTATTATGTTGGAGAACGCAATGCGCAGATACAATACAACTACAGATAATGAAATGTTTGGCATAATGATCGTTAGATCTATTTTACGATTTGAATCCCCACCCGCCATTGATGGCATCCTTGAATTGCTTGTTTTATGCTGAAATCTTTTGATTTGATTTGATTTTTTTTATTCAAATTTGTTTCTTTTTTGTGGTTATTAGATTGTTGAAATAGTTTCATACAGAATGTGAAATGTTCGACTCTGTTACATCACAAAAATGCTATATTTTGACTTTATTTTCCAGGTTGCATCACAACAAAGGAGCTTGGAACTGTGATGAGATCTCTGGGGCAGAATCCGACGGAGGCTGAGCTCCAGGATATGATCAATGAGGTGGATGCCGATGGAAATGGGACAATTGACTTCCCGGAGTTCTTGAATCTTATGGCCCGCAAAATGAAGGACACTGATTCCGAAGAGGAGTTAAAAGAGGCTTTCCGTGTTTTCGACAAGGATCAGAATGGCTTCATCTCCGCTGCCGAACTGCGCCATGTTATGACAAACCTTGGGGAGAAGCTGACCGACGAGGAGGTCGATGAGATGATCAGGGAAGCTGATGTCGATGGGGATGGACAAATTAATTACGAAGAATTCGTTAAGGTTATGATGGCCAAGTGATGTGATGCTCCCTCACTCCTCCTACCTTTAAGAAACCAAGATAAGTTTTTATTTTGGATATAGTTTGTGGAAATTTGATCTTTCGAATTTACAAAAAACAAAAAAAGAAGAAAAACGGGTCGACCAGTCTAATGGCTACCTAGTTTCTATTCCTGTCATTTGATTTTGTGGTTTTATGTCTTCGAATATGCGCGTGATCTGTGTTTTCCAACTGTGGTAAGATCATCATTATCCATTTTATGTTAAGATGATTGCTAGTGTTATGTAGTTTTCTTTTGTTGTATCATTCTTGTTTTGGGATTGTTATATTTATTCGTCGCTAATATCTCTATGTGATAGCGTTTAGTATTGCATTATAGATGTTTTGTAGGAGCTACGTTACTATAAACCGTGCTAAATTTATCGCGCATAATATTTGGTACATGGATTTGAGCCTTGCGTAGTTGCATTACATGAGTAGTTTTATCGAGCATGTCTTTTTCTTGCATGTGGGAGTTTTTGTTATATTATACTCGACGTTTTTGTTGTCGGGATGCTCTACTTTGATTCGTGGTCGTGTCACCCTTTTCTATGAGCTAAGTTTGTTTTATAATTGTAGACTGACTTCACAGATCAATAGAAGTTGTTTCAGATTGTTTTGTCTAGCCTGATATTGTCGCTTGTCTTGCGGCTTAGGAAATCTTTCAATAATAGTAAAAATTTAAGTTAGAATAGTAACATACCCTAACGGTTATACTGTATATCGTATCGAACAATTCGGTATATTAAAAAAATATACTAATACAGTAGTGAAATTTTCGGTATATTGAAATTCGGTAAGGTACCGGTATTTACAGGTTATACCAAAATTTTCGATAGTATATACTGGTTATATCGAAATTTATATTAAAAAAAAACTACATTTTTATTTTAAACAACACATAAACAATCTTAAAGTATAATTAATCAATACAATCAAATAATTGAAAGAAAAAAATGCAAAATATCTTCCGATATCATAAATCAATAATCCCATCACCGCAACAAACAACGGACGAACTTCTGGTCTGACTGCTGGGGCTAATTAAATTATTTAATTAAAATATTATCGGTAGAGTACGGTATCTCAATATCGAAATAACAAATTTTTAAAAAATTCATACCGATATCGTATCAAATTGTTGGTATTTTGCGATATGGTAAATCAATATTTTGGTATTTTCGATAAGTTTATCTATCCTTAGTAAGTTGGGGTTTGGATTTGAGTAGGGCAGCATAAGAACTATTTTCAATATTAGTTTTATTCCACATAAAATATTTATTTTATTTTTTTGAAAAATATGCTTATGTATTTTAATCACGTTCATAAGAAACTTACAAACACTAATGTCTCACATTCTTGTAAAATTACTACTACAAAATTTTTAATAATATTATCCAAATATGTTTTTTTATTTTTATTTTTTTGAAATCAACTTGCCACTTTATTTATAATAAGATTCGGGAACAACAAATCAGAACCAACTCCCAAGAATATTGAGATCTCCTTTTTAACCACGACTCCATTGTGGAGGAGTCAGCTTTTGGTACGGAAAATGAAATTGCAGATAAACGAGAGTAGAGAATAGAATTAGAGAGAAATGCAATTGACTAGAGAATGAGAATTAATTCTCTTATTTGATAAAACAGAGAATTCATTTGAGAAATCTAAAAAAATATGCAAATATGCGAATGATCAAACAAAAATAAATGATTAACCCGATAAAAAGAGAGTTTTTAACGAATGAAAATTCATAAAAAATATTTTTGTAAAATTTTTTTTTAAAAAATTATAAATTATATACGATCTTTTTTAAGATTATATTTTAGTACAATTTCTTAAAATATCGTAAAAATTAAATACTTTACAAATAAATTAAGTTTGGTTTTTGTAAAATTAAAATAATACAATTTTAAAAAAAATATAAAAATTAAATAGTATAAACAAATTTTAAAAATTAAAAAAAACATATACTGCAACGTCATTTCTCTCTTCATTTATCTGCAAATGGGAGAGAAATGAAAACAGAGAAATAGAAATGATTTATTTCTCAAGTTCCATTTCTCTGATTCAAACAAACAAGAGATATGATACCATTTCTATTTTTCTGGCCTTATTTTTCTGTACCAAACACAATCTAATATCAATTTAGGAACCGAAAATCCCCCTAACGTGCGAAGTTCGTCAAGAACTAGTCGGACCACTTCTTGCTCAGCAACCACTGATTTCTCTTTGCCGATGAATTTGGACATCATCAATATGACTGCACCTGCCTTATCTAGAACCACAATCCCGATACCTGCCGCCCCTGGGCACCCCAATGCCGTTCCTATCGACATTGATTTTCCACCAAACCCTAGCCGGAGGGAGCCATAATAACTATGTTCTTACTACCCGCCTCTTATAATTTGGATTAACTTGAAGTTGATCGAAATTTCCTTGAAAGAACACTGCACTACTGTCTATCCCTCAATATTTGCATTATACTATTTCCAGATAGTCCATCTCACTCTGACACATAATTCGTTCCTCGTTAACCATATACGTCAAATTATTGCATAACACATGAGATCCCAAATAATATCACAAGATTTACGCATATGGAGTAGAGTTGGCAAAAACTGACCCGACACGACCCGATACAAAATAATTGGGTTTTGGTCAAAGATTCCAACCCGATTATATATACGGGTTGACACGAACCTGACATGATAATAAACGGGTCGGGTTAGGGTTGAAGCTCTAAACTCGAACCCGACACGACAACTCAATTATAATATAGATTAATATATTTATTATATATATAAAATAATCATAGTTTAATAATTTTTTTATAAATTAATTTAAACTAAGTTCAATTTTAAATAATTCAGCCTAATTTACGCTCAGACCAATAAAAACTAACATAACACGACAATAAAATAAAAAAAATTATTTAATTTGAATCAAGAAATTAGACTTAATTATGTATACGGGTCAACACGAATCAACCCGAACCCGACATGATAATAAACGGGTTAACACGAACCCGACACGATAATAACGGATCAGATTATGATTGAGTAATTTAACCCATTTAAAATATTCAACCCGACATGAATCGACCCATTGCGGGCTCTAATATGGAAGTATATCCAGCCTTCGGAAAGACCCAAGAAATCTTGAAGCATTCGATTGCTCAGCACTATAAATGATTGGCAAATTCACAATATAAGAATAGATGGTCCACCTCCTCCTCTTCTACCCGCATATTTATTTGCTTCATGCACGTAGTTTTAAAAATATTAATATTATATTAGAATATCGTAGAAATAAAATAGAAATGACGTTTGTGTAATATATTGTAAGTTGTAAGGGTATTTGTAATGTTAGGTAGATAGTACAATTATTTTTTTAAAAAAAATGGATACTTTGTTATGTGACGGACTAAAATAAAAAAATGAATACTTTGTTATGGAACGAAGAGAAGAGAGTAGTATTTTATATTATAATTTTATGAGATAATAAAATATATATTAATCTCTCTATTCACTTTCAATGTACTTTTTTTTATTATTATTTTAGTTTGTGCTCTTTCAATGTATTTGATTTTTTTTTTAATAATTATACTTCTTATTCATTCAAATAAAAATATTCTTAAACTTTACACATATTAAGAATATTATTAAAAAAATAAATTAAGGGGTGTTTTTTTTTTTTTTGTTTTTTTTATCATTCTATTGTATTATTACAAATAAAATACTAATACCTTAGAATTTACATACAAAAAGTAAACTGATGTATAAAATATATATATATATATATTGAAAATCGTTTGTAAAAAATTGATTACTCAAACAAACCCAAAATCAACCCATAATATATCTATATAATAGGCATATATAATATACAGAACATTTTATTTAAAGAAATAATACTTTATTTTACTAAAAAAAGTACAATTAAATAATATTAATTTGAATTTAAAATTCAAACTAAATTGGTAAAATCATTTATAGCAATTCAAATAATATTCCATATATATATATGATTACAAAAATTAAAAGTAAGGGTTTGTTTGCTCAATTTTTATTTTTATTTTTTTACACGATTTTTAATATATATATATTATCCTCTTATAAAAATTAACATTCAATATAATACTCCATATTATTTATTTTATCAATCTAATTTTCTATACGTAAATATAAAAAATTTCAAATCAAAGTATAATTTTAAAATATACATCAACAAAAACACAAAATTTCTTCAAAAAACAAATAAAACATCCATTTTTTATAATATTTTTATATTCTTTTCATTTTTTTTAATAATAAAAACATTTTAAACTATAAATACTAAACAAACACTCCTATAATATATATCAAATAAACACTTTTTTTTAAAAAAAAATTGAAATTACCATCTTATAATCTCATTATTTTATTTTCAATAAAATTGCAATTTTTAATTATTAAATATATATATATATATAAAATAATTGAATAACACTCATTTCAGTTACTAAGCATATCTGAATTATTTATTTATTATTATTATTATTATTATTATTATTATTATTATTATGTTATTTTCGATTTTTTTTTTTTACATTTTACACATATTTAGTGATTTAATAAATACGGTGGTGATGCTTAATTTAAATATAAATAATTACAATTTATTTTCTCCATGCCGTAATAAAAGATTGAAGCATTATTAAATATTTATAATAAGCTATCTGACTACACACGATAGTAAAGGTGTGGACGCATGTACTGAATCATGCCTGTCATATTACATGTAATTTTTAACTTGAACTGCAACGGTAACATTGCACCACGCATTAGGCTTGTTTGGAAATAAATTAATGCCGTTGGATCATCTTCCATCCAACGGACAAAAGTTTGAAAAAAAATTCGACCGTTGGAAGCGCACTTGCCTTTCAAATAGGCTCCCATTCTAACCCTTCTTCCCCAAGTTCGATAGATCTGTGTTTTCTCTCAGTCGCAGAAGAACAATACGAAGAAGAAGAAGAAGGAGTTCAAAGATTTAGGCAGAAATGGCTTCAAGACAGGTGGTTCAACATCAGAATAGAGGTATTCATTTTAATCCCCAACTCATTTTCCTTTTCTTCGCGATGGTTTGGGTGGATTTCGCGTCTGATTGATCCGCGAATTCGTTGTCTAATCGATCGATAAACGTTTTGTAGTTTTTGTAAATTGAACAATCGCGGAATTATTATTTCAATTTTGTTGTTAATTTCAGAATCGGTTAATGGATCGAGTAGGATTCGATTTGTGTTCTAATTTCTACGGTTTTGGAAATGTTGATTGATTCTCTAATTACGAATTCAATTTCAAAATTAGGGAATTCATTAGTGTTAATTTCGTGAATTGATTTGCTCCGAAGGTGGAGAGGCTGTTCAGGGAGGTGTTAAGCAGAAGAATATTGGGGGAGAAAGGAAGAATCGCCGTGCCCTAGGGGATATCGGAAATGTCGTTATTGCTCGCGGCGGCGCCGCCGCCGTCCCGGCCGATGGCAAGCCTATTGTTCAAGTTTCTCGACCGGTTACAAGGTTTATACATAAATCCGTCGATTTCTGATCTCAATTCAAAATTATCGATTAACATGACTGAAATCGATTCGATTTGTTATCTTTCAGGAGTTTCTGCGCTCAGCTACTGGCAAATGCACAAGCTCAGAAGAACAAGGTTAACTTAATTTAATATCTTGAAAAACTCTTATTATTTTCTTTGAATCGAGGGATAATTTTCCTAATCGGATCTTGAATTTCAGACTTCAGCCGCCATTGTAGCCGATGGAGCTTTACCAGAGGCCAAGAAAGCTGCCGGAGCTGGCCGGAAGCCCGCCGCAAAGAAAGCGGCTGCACCCAAACCCAAGCCGGAAGAGATCATCGAAATCAGCCCCGATTCGACGGAAATTCCTAAAGAAAAGGAGAAAGTTGCCGCCGAAAAGTTAGCGAAGAAGAAAGCCCCGAGTTTCTCTACCACACTCACGGCCCGAAGCAAGGTTTGATTCGACATAGATATACATACAAATACATACATATACAAGTATATGTATACGTAATCTCCCCTGTGAACTGATTTTGGAATTGCAGGCGGCTTGTGGGCTGAGCAAAAGGCCGCCAAAAGAACTACAAATAGTCGACATCGACGCAGCCGATATAAACAACGATTTGGCAGTAGTTGAGTACATCGATGACATCTACAAGTTCTACAAGTCGGCCGAGGTATTATAAAATCTTGTCTTAATTTGAATACTCTGGTTTGTTCTTTTTTTTCGATTCTAACGTTGTTGTTCTCCGTTGTTTTTTATTACAGCACGAGGGCCGGGTCCACGACTACATGGACTCGCAGCCGGAAATAAGCGAAAAAATGCGCGCAATCTTAGTCGATTGGTTGGTCCAAGTCCACGAAAAATTCGAACTTTCGCAAGAAACATTATACTTAACAATCAACATTCTTGATCGTTATCTTGCCGCGAAAATTACTTCACGGGGGGAGCTTCAGTTAGTCGGGCTTAGCTCAATGCTAATCGCCTCTAAATACGAGGAAATTTGGGCCCCGGAGGTAATTAATTTTATCTTATCTTCTAACATCATATCATTGGGGTGAGTTTACTTGTAAGATAATTGATATGATATTTTGTATATAAAACTAAATTTTAGTGTAATAAAAATAAATAAAAAATTAGTATTTGATATGATATTTTTTTGTCATACAATTTATTTTATTTTTTATTTTTTATTTTCTATATTTTGAAGGTTGAAGATCTTGTCGGAATTGCGGATAGAGCTTACAGCAACAAACAAATATTGGTTATGGAGAAACGAATCTTGGGGGAGCTAGAGTGGATGCTGACAGTCCCGACACCGTACGTTTTCCTCGTCCGGTTCATTAAAGCTTCGCAAACCGAATCCGATGTGAGTATTGATTAGCATTTATTACATATGGAGAGCATTAATTACGAGCATTAATTGAATCTCCGTGTAATCAATTCTAGGTTGAGAACATGGTGTATTTTCTTGCGGAGCTGGGGATGATGAATTATTCGACACTGATATACTGTCCGTCGATGATTGCCGCGTCAGCAGTCTACGTGGCGCGATCGACGCTGGGGAAGAGTCCAGCTTGGAACGATACGCTCAAATTGCACACGGGGTTTTCTGAGACGCAGCTTTCGTGAGTTTTTTAATTAATTAATAGTATTAATGATTACAACAACGTTAATTAATGCTATTAATTGCTTCTGTTTAATTAAGGTTGCTGTAATAAATAATGGTAATTATTATTATTATTATTGCAGGGATTGTGCTAAGCTGCTAGCTAAACTTCACTCGAGTGTAGCCGAGATGAGGCAGAGAGGGATATATAGAAAATACTCCAGCTCTGAAAGATGCGCCGTCGCGCTGCTTCCGCCGCCGGCGCCGCCCGCCACCGCCGGCGCCGCCGCTCTTAAGGCGGAGAACTGACGTGTTACCACCATTGCTGACAATTAATTTTCTACCCTTTTGTACGGGTGGGCCCGACATAAACTGATGAGAGAGAGAGAGAGAGAGAGAGAGAGGAGTTTGATATGATGTTAGGGTAGATAGAGAAAGAATATCCTCGTTCTTGTAAGGGATGATTTTTTTTTTTTTGGAATTATTCTGCTGATGGATTGGAATGGTAATGGTTTTTTTCCCCCTATTTTTCTTTTGCAAATATGAGCATTTTGTTTTCGTAATTTGTAAATAAATAAATCATTACAATATTCTGTAACAAAATGATAATAATAATAATAATAATAATAATAATAATAATAATAATAATAATCATGCATAAACCATAAATTTAGAAGTCATAAAATTTTTCAAAATATAAAATTTTTCTTAAAATCCTTTAATAACTCTTTTTTTTTTTTGTCAGGTTCCTATTTACAAATTCTTTTCTTTATAAACTCTGTGTTATTATTGCACATAATTTTCTCTTTTTAAATTTCTTATTATCTTATTTTTACTTTTTAAATAATATTTTATAATATTTTATTTACTTTTTTTTTTTACCTCACTCTCGTACAATTTTAAAAAATTCAACTGATTATTTTAGTTAAAAAGATAAAATATTTGTCAACTGAAAATTTATACTTTTAAATTTTATACTTTTGTACTTTAAATGTGACATTTGCAATATTATTTATTCCTCATTTGAAACACTATTTTATTATAATATATTGCATTATTTACACATAATACTTGTGTATCTCATACATTAATATATAATTATATTTTTTTTAAATATATCAGTGTTTACAATATTAATTTCGTATTATTTTTTTTGTGTATCTACACGAATATACATATATACTTTTTCCAATAAATGATTGTACAATTAAGTTTTATTTGATGTAGTTTTCTTAACTGTTATAAATTTACATGATCAATGTTTATTTTTGTTGTCAAAATTTATTTCATACAACTATTTATTTATTATATGTATAATAAGAAAGTAAATTCGTAAGATAAAAATTAAATATTTATACAAGAAGACAAAATGAGAAATACAGTAGATAAGAGAAATTAAATAAGGGCATTACAGAGTTTTTTTTGATAGATCGGAAACGAAAAAGAACAGATTTATAAAAGTAATGAGTAAAAAAAGAACAAATTAATACATAAGAAGTAAATAAGAATTTGAAAATAGATATAGTAGTTACAATTTTCTTTTTAAATATCAAATTAAATATAATTATATATAGGGTAAATTATATAATATCCCATACGTCTTAGTAAAAATGCACAAAACACCATATATTTTATTTATTGCGTAAAATTTCTTTGTGTTAATTTAAAATTTGCATGAAACACCATCTTGTCCAAAATTGATATTTAGTTATAATAAAAGACCTAAATTACACATTTTTATACAAATAAAAAAAATAAAATATTTTAAATAATTTGTTTTGAATAAATAAATAAATAAATAATTGATCAATCATTTATTTTTATAGTTTTCATAAACATCATATAACAATTTGTTTCCAAAAACTATAAAATAAAAATTAATTAATAAATTATTTTATTCAAAAAATTATTTAAGATATTTTATATTTTTTATTTGTATTAAACTTGCGTAATTTAGGTCTTTATTTGAAATCAAATATCAGTTTTGGACAATGATGATGTATCATGCAAATTTTATATTAACAGAGGGTTTCACACAATAAATAAAACACACAGTATTTTGTACATTTTTACTAAAAACACAAAAGGTATCATATAATTTACCTTTATATATCGTAAAAACTAATATTACTTTTAAAAATCACATAATTTATCAATCAATTCAAATTTAAAATTTGAATGGTAAGGCAATGAAAGAATTGATCACTGATTCTGGAGCATCTCTGTGACACTCAGCCCGCAAGCCACGCAAAGTCGAACATGTTGTGATTGTAGACTGACTCAATAGGTCAACAAGAGTCCTTCGCGTTTTATCCTCACTTATCCTCATCCTCAAATTATAGGTGAGTCACCTATCCTCATCCTTAAATTAGTTTAGGGCAAACACGTTTAACTCTAGATTTTTTTCAGTAGGACTCTCGAAAAGGAATATACACATTGTTGACATAAGTAGTCTATTCAATCAATTTAACCTATATTCAAGTTCGAATGATCTGACACCAGCTTATCCATGGGAGTGGGCCTGACACCGACTTAACTTCTGAGTATTACAATGTCGATATATGACTAGGGTAGTTAATTGTTTGAATCTTCCAAAAGAGTTGTTTGAATTTTCTAAAAGAGGTGATGGAATGAGTAGTGGATTTGCCCAATGGAAAAAAAACATTAGAGCAATTTATGAAAAATGCTTTGAGTTAGGGATGTGGCTTCAAATCACATGATCTTTGTTCCATGATTGAGTACAAGACCAATATAGTAATGCATGTTTTCTAAATAAATCATTAGGAACTAATAATATTATGTTAATTTTATTTAGTTATTATATCATATTTGTCTTAATAGTATTTAATTATTTATTTAAAATTTTATCATTTGTATAGTCAATAATAAAAAATGTTAATTTTAATATATCTAATTTTTAAATAAAATAGTATAAATTATATATTTTTGGACAATAATATAAAAATAAATTAAAGTTGAATATAATTTATAAATATAAAAAGTCTTTCTCCGTCCATTGGTAAGTTTTTTTTTTTTTTTTTTTCACGCGAATCAAGATAAATTAGTATTTTATAGATATGTAGTGTAATAAAATGGTTTAATATGTATTTTACCATTAACATTAAAGTAAATGTAATATAGAAAGTAAAAAGTACGAGTATTTTAGTATTTAGTTGAAAGTTACTTTTACTTTTGTACAATAAAATAGGAAGTTTATACCCTCTATGTTATCCAAATTTATTCTCACTTTCATTTTTTTGTTTTCATCAAAATTTATTTACGTTTCCCTTTTTAGTAAGAAAACCACTTTTTCTATTTTTTCTTTACCCAAAAAAGTACTCCCTCCATCCTAAATAAGATGGGCGCATTACTGTAAATACGAGAATTTAGGTAAAATATAATTAGTAAATAATTAAGAAGTGTATTAGTAAAAATTATTATTATTTAGTAAAAATAATTATAGATTAACATTAAGATAACTAAATAGTTTAATTAAGATTAAAAAAAATTTAAATTTTAAATTTTAAATTTTAAAATATGATTAAAGTGTATAATCAATTTTCCAAAAAAGGAAATGACAAATTATATGGGACGATGAAAATAGAAAATATGGACAAATTATGTGGGACGGAGGGAGTAAAAGTTTCTATTTTTACCTATTTTTCTTCAAACTCGTATCCGGTCAAATAAACACGCAATTGGATGACGAAAGAAGTAATAAATTGAGGAAGTATATAAGAAAAATATATATAGAATATACTTTTTAAAAGTAAAAATTGAAGTTTATTGTTAGAATAAAATTATTATTGATCAACTGTATTTTTATTGTAATTGCTGCAAAATGGAATAATAACTTGGAGATCCTAAGGGATGATCAAAATCTCATCTCCCACACCCCTTTATCTTTCTAGTCACAATTTGGCCGTGTTCCTTTAGCGAAGATTTCTCAAAATTTACTATATATTTACTATGTATGACAATAAAATTGCAAAATTCTCTTGTACTACTATCAAAATAAAGCTTATTTATAGCAGATTCTCATTCGCAACAATCTTTTCGTTGTAATTGCTATTTTTTTGTATCGGATATTTTCGTAACAACTAGATTTTTTTGTTTGCTCAACCATTTTGTTTTTGCTGCAGTATTTTTCCGTAACAGTTACAATTATTGACTTATTTATATTTGTCATGCATGTTCAACCGTTACAAAAATAATAGAAACTAAAATTTTTAAATAAAAATTATAATACAAGTGTGAAGAGATTAGGATCACTCGGCCAAAACAAGAAATCTGCATAGCGTACATCTTCAAAGGGATGTATATAGCTTTTTATTTCTAATCTTGGCCATGATAATCATTAGTGTGTTTGTTTGGAGGATTGGATTTTAATCTCACTATTCATTCCATTTTTTTTCCCCAAAAATATTAAATCAAATACCCATTTTTTATTTTTTATATTATACTAAAAATCAATTTTACATTCAAAACATCACATCAATACCTATTTATATCACATCATACAACTATTCAAATTTAAAATTTTTACTATTCAAATCCCAACTCAAAATCCAAACCACCAAACAAACAGCATTTGTAATAAGATCAACTAGATTAGTTTGTTAGATATTAGAATAGTAAGTTACTTTAGTCGGTGCTATGTTACTAGTCGGTTTAGTTTTGACCTTTAAGCTTTAGTTTTAGTCCTTAATCAAGCATTAGTTTTCTGATTAATTTAGTTCGTTGTTGTTGTATTTGTTAGATAGTTTGCAATTAGCTTAATATTAACATAGGACGAGTGTTAAGTCAATAGATAGATTAATTAATTGGATTAGTGTAAATCTGTATAATTTATTAATTGGATAGTTCGTGTTGTTTTCATCATTATTTATTAATGTCTAACGACTTTGTAATAAATATTAGTATGAATGGGAACTTGGTAAAATTGACTAATATCTCTTTTGTTTCAATTTATTCCTTTGTCTGATTTTTAAAACTTTTATTCATTCATCAATTTTTTTTTTTGTGTTCATCTACACGCATTCACCTGCATTCACCTTCATCCATCTGGCGGACATTTTTTTTTAGTGACGTGAGAATTCGCAACAGCTATTCGAAAGTACGCACTTGATAACTTTCCGGCCGAACCTAATAACCTGCAAACTAAGTCCGACAGACAAATCACACTAGTATTTTTTAATATTTATTTAAATCTCTATTTTTGCAAATATTAATTTTGTTTTCAATTGCAGCAACTCATTGCACAATTTTTCAATAAAAGCATTGCATATTAGCATTATTATTTGAGTTCGACCTGAACATTCACCGGTCAAAGAGTTTCTTTTAATATTTGACGAAGTTTCTGAGGTTACTGTAAGCATTCGCATAGCACGTATTTCAAATATTATATCTATATCATTCAATCAAAATCTTCAAATAAACTTTATGTTTATTTTTACTTCATTAGTGACTGATGGTCTATATTTTATGTTGCTCTCTACATTTTACAAATTTGATTACGCTACTATATAAATGGCTGGATTCAGTGAATTATCTCCGACCTTTTTCGTTACATATGATGTAATGCTTGAGTTAACATCTTTAATATTTTATATTGATTAAATATTTTGTGACTTCATTTCGTTTCCAATTATATGCACATGTTTATTTTATATGTACGTAGGTGATACCATTGACATAGTGAAGGGTTTTTTTGCCACGGCTGCTCGCTCCAGAGGCCGCACTCATTCTACGAAGAACTTTTGGAGTGCAAATACTCTATAAGGTTGTCATCGCTACATAGATGTCATGTCAGCCACACGTGAATTTTTTATTTTTTTTACAAAATATCGTGGTAAACTATTTTTTAATTCCTGCAAGTTAATTTTTCCCCTAAAATGGTCATCCGATTAGTCATTGACGTGACAATAATATGTCAGTCACGCTTGCAACGGCGGACCAACACGGTGAATCCAGTACCGAAAAACCATTTTAGCAAAATCTATTCATTTAAAATTCTAAAATAATAAACGAATCATATGCATAAACTAAAAAAACATAATAAGATCGATCATATTAAATATTTTGCGGATGCAATGCATGTAGTGCCCTAACCACTCCTCAAACTTTTACAAGATTTCTATATTTAAAATATCACATATCACATCAATAAATTCTTAAAATATAAAATTTTATTATTTAAAATTATGAACAAACTGACCTTAAAATGAGTACCAACTTGCAGCCAATAACAAAATCACTTTATTTCTCTTTTTTTTTGTCCATCGGGCAACAGTCGACAAATGGAATCAATCAAACAGTGGAGAAAAGAAATCAAGAGAGAGACGTAATCAACAAAACCTCTTCATAAAAACTACAAACAAACAAACATGTCACATTCCTACTAATCCCACTAACATCTAACGTCAATATATATATATAAACATACATTTGGAATGGTCGGACAGGAATATTATCGTATATTTTCTAGTGCATTTGGTACCGCTATTGTATGAGATATTTTAGATATTTACTTTTAAATTTAGTATATTTATAATTAGATTTGGTGTTATCTATATATTATATTATTTAGATTTGAGTCTATTAAGTATATTTTGTATTGCTTATATATAAGTCATTTATTTTGATGATCAATAACACACTCTAATTATTTTTTTCCAAAATTTCTAACAGAAAAAATAATTGAATTGTCTTATTGATCATCAAAATAAAGGGCTTGTATATAAACAATAGAAAATAGATTCGATAAACTCAAATTTAAATAATATGATATATGGATAATACCAAATCTAAATATAAATCTACTCCATCTAAAAATGAGTATCTAAAATATCTCAATATCCCCTGAAACTCAAGTGGTACAGCAGAAACCAACTTGAGCTTATAAGAAAGTTGAATGTAAATGCAAAAAAAAAAAAAAAAACACCAATAAAAATAACAGTCTCTCCACCAAAGTAAAAAACGAGATGACTCTCCACCACGGAGCAAAAAACGAGATGACTCTCCAACGGAGCCGAAAATGAGAAGACTCCACCGGAGCCGAAAACGACATGACTTTCCACCCCGGAGTTGAAAACGAGATGAGTCTTCACCGGAGTTGAAAACGAGATGACTCTCCACCGGACCCGAAAACGGCATGACTCTACCGAAGCAAAAAACGACATGAATCTCCACCTGAGTCAAAATCGAAATGACTCTCCACCGGAGCCGAAAACGAGATGACTCCATCGGAGCAAAAAACGAGTTGACTCACCACCGGAGCCGAAAACAACATGACTCCGCTGGAGCCGAAAACAGATATATTGCAAACACTAAACAGATCGCACGCAGGCAACAGACAAGCAACAGACATATGGCAGAACGTAGACAGGTTTCAGATTGCACGCAGACAACAGACATATGGCAGAACGTAGACAGGTTTCAGATTGCACGCAGACAACAGACATATGGCAGATCGTAGACAGGTTTTAGATCGCACGCAGGCAACAAACAAGCATCAGACATATCACAGAGAGGTTTCAAATCTCACGCATGCAACACACAAGCATCGGACATATGACAGATCGCAGACAGATTTCAGATCTCATGCAAACAACAGACATGACATATGGCAGACAGATCGCAGATAGATTTCTGATCGCACGACAGATTTCACGACAGATTTCAGATTGCACGCAGAAATAGACAACGGACAAATGACAGATCGTAGACGAGATAGATTTTCAAAAGGACAGACTTGCAAATGCATGATCTCACAATCACAAGACCTCCGGATACAATCTAGGTTGAATATACCTGGAGAAAAACGGATTGACAAGCTTTACCTACGACATGAGAAAAATAGGCTTTGATGCCATGTTAAAAATTTTGGGGAAAAATAATGAGATTGTCTTATTGATCATTAAAATAAGGGGCTTATATATAGGCAATACAAAACAGACTCGATAGTCAAGTCTAAGTAATCTAATATGTGAATAAGACCAAATTTACATATAAATCGACTAAATCTAAAACTAAAACTGAATATTTAAAATATCTCAACATCCCCTCAAACTCAAATAGTATAGCACAAACTAACTTGAGTTTGATTAAAAAGTTGACTCAAATAGTATAGCACAAACTAACTTGAGTTTGATTAAAAAGTTGACTCAAATAGTATAGCACAGACTAACTTGAGTTTGATTAAAAAGTTGAATATAAACAAAAAAAAAACACAAATAAAAATAACAGTTGCCTTTCCACCAAAGTCGAAAATGAGAGAAAACCAAAATCAAATAAAAGAACAAAATTCAGTTGAGAATAGTAAAAAAAATAAAAATAAAAATGCGAGACAATATAAAGTAAGGAAGGAAAAGAATATAAAAAATAAAAAAGAAGATGAATTGGTGAAGGTTTTGGTAAAGTCGGAATTTACGAAAAATATCAAATATCATATTTAGTTGATGATTTTTTATTTTTTTTTTCATTTGATTAACATTTTGTTGTGGGATGTTTTGTGAAATCAGAGCAGTGTACTTTTAATAAAATTATGAAAGTTAAATATTTTTTGTCCATTAAAATTAGTCCACTTACATTTGACATTAAAAATTAAAGTAAATGAAAAGAGAATGCAATAAAATTAGTGACATTCATTGTAAATAATTGTTGAATAAAGAGTAATAATTAAATATTAATTTATTAACTTTGCCAAAATTAATTATAAAATAAATTTAACAAATGAACTAAGAAAAATAAGAATAAATTCGATGGACGAAAAAAAAAAAAGTAAAAAACAATAAAAAAAAAATTAATAAATGAACACTTGGATGTGTGTTTCCCCGCCCACATCCTTATTTATAATAACATATTTTATCCACTCACAACATAGGTATTCATATGTTAACAAATTTAAATAAACTACCAACTATTTTTCCTAGTTAACCTATTTATCAACTCTTTGTAATTTTTCTATAATCCTTAAATTTTATATTAAAATATTTTTAATTTTTAATTTTCGTACCCAAACAAACAAAAATAAACATAGCCTAATGGGAGTATCAAGAATCTTTGGGCACAAATTCAAACCAAATTGTACTACATTCAAATCAGATCCATAATCTTAGGTTGCATGATCCGGTCAACATTGTGCTGATTTAATATGTTCATATATATGTCACGTATGTTGTGTTATAAAATAACACATCTGAATTATAATATAATATATGTTGAATATCCCTGTATTATCATATTTATATTCATTTTTATGCAAACCCCAAATTAAATTATATCTCTACCAAATTACCTCTCCCTAACTCTAACAGGCAATCCACCCTTAATTCTCAAAGTTAAAGACAGCAAGTATTGAGGGGACTGACCTTTCTCCAGCATCACTTCAACTGCAAATCTCTCAAGAACAGATGCAGCAATCGACTTCATCTGTATGTAAGCCATCTCCTTCCCCAAACACATCCTCGGCCCTGCGTGAAATACCGGATACTTAAATGCGCTTTCCCCCCGGCAAACTCCATTTTCGATCCACCTCTCCGGCCTGTACTCGCAGCAATCCTCGCCCCATATGCTCTCCATTCTGCCCATTGCATATGTGTTGTATGATATGAACCAATCCTTCTTTATAACTGTTCCGTCCGGCAGTATATCGTCGCCCTTACAAGCCTTTGTGTCCACTGGAACCGGCGGATACAGCCTCATCGACTCTGTTATCGCCGCCTGAAGATAATGCATCTTGTGCAGTTCTTCGAATGTGTAGATGTCGCCGATGGATTTGTTACCTGCTTTTCGGATTGTTTCTAGCTCTTGCAGGATTCTTTCCTCAACATTTTGATGATTCGATAGCAACCAGAAGAACCATGATAAAGCAGAGGATGTTGTGTCTCTACCAGCTAATATGAAACTAATCACAATGTCTCGAAGATGTTTAGGTGAATTTTCGTTCCTAAGGATGAATCTGGATAATAGATCGTCAGCAATTTCGTGTTCTGAATCTTCTTCTACCTTTTGATACCTATTTGCTATTATCTTATCAGCATATTCATGGACTCTAGCAATCGATTTCTGCAGCTTTTTCTCAGATCCTAAATTGAAGAGCTTCTTAAGTATGTATAGTTTAGGAATGGCGTACATAAATCTACCTGATGAGAGAGATGCAGCTTCGTCGAATGCTTCCATGAATCCATCCCCAAATTTGTCGTCTCCTCCGCCTAAAGAGACTGGATCGACGTTGAATGCGAGTTTACAGATGTTGTCGAACGCGAATCGCTCCAGAATGTCCTGTACGTCCAAAACCCTAGCGCTCGTCGCGGCGCTCTGGAGAAGAGGAATCAATCGATTTCGGAGCTCCGATGTGACGTTTTCCATGGCGAAATTGCGCAATGATTTCGTATTGAACTCATAGCTAGCAGTTTTCCTCTGGAATCGCCACATCTCTCCGTCGGCGTTGAAAATCCCCGTCCCGAGCAGATCCTGCAACAGGATCCGGAATCGCTCGCCCTTGGGGTAATTCTCGAAATTCGTTTTCAGCATATGCTCGACTACTTGCGGATTCGCCGTGATGACGCCGTGCACCTTCCCCGGGCGGTGGAATACGGCGGTTTTGGTCTGGCAGCGCGAGAGGACCCCAGTGGACCATTCGAGGAAGCGGTGGCGGTTAAGGATGAAATCGGGGAGGGTACCGACGATCGGGTAGGTTTTGAAACCGAAAGCGGCGGAGCTTTTGGAGCGGCGGCGGAGGAAGACGACGTAAACGTAGAGAGAAACGAGGAAAACGTAGAGGAGAGGTTCGAGGGCGGTTACCGCCATTATCGGAGCATAGGAGAAGAAGGAAGAAGATGGAAAGTGTGTATGTGTACGTATAGTGCGTCTGCGTATTACTGACAGAAAATGACGGGATGAGAAGATGATAAAGAGTGAAGGGCTGTGAAGTGAAGAATATACATATATATATAGAGAGAGAGAGAGAAAGAGAGACATGCCCTTGTAACCGCCGATGACGTAAAAAATACAGCACGCTTACGTCATTATTACATTATGTTTAAAATTACCTATGCCTGAGGCCACCTGGAACTACGGATGGCAGGGTCTCCGCCAACCGTGGTTAATGAAGCGGATCCGGATTTAAAATTTTAGGTTAAATTGTATAAAATTTTACAAAATTGTATTAAACTCTCAATTCTTTTAAAATTATATCAAATTTTATTGTGGTTTCATAAACTTTACGTCTAACCATCTCAATCGTCTTTATTTAATGAGGTTTGACCTACATGTAATTAAATTGATAATGAATTTCATATTACTGATTTCTAAATTATTAAAATTATAAATATATTCATTGTTTCTTGAGATGAAATAATATTTCAAAATAATTATTTATTATTTCTTGAGGCTAAATAATAAAAACGATGAATATATTTATAACTTTAAGGGTTTGGGAATAAAAATTTTAACACTTATTCGTATTTTGAGCACGTGCAGGTTAAATATCGTTAAATAAGGATGACCGAGAGGTTAGACACAAAGTTTATGAAACCACGAGGTGTTTGATGCAGTTCTTAAAGGAGGCGGGATTTCGCGCAATTTCATGAAATCATATGTAGATTTTGTGTAATTTAACTAAAATTTTATAACCGAATGAATTACAAATTTTGAGATTTTAAATCCAACTTAATTTGGGATGGGTTAAGGATTTCATAAAAAATTTATGGTTAAATTATATAACACCTCTTTGTATTTTAGTAAAAATGTACAAAATACCATGTATTTTATTTATTACGTGAAATCCTCTTGTATTAATATAAAATTTGCATAAAACACTCTCCTTGTCCAAAGCTTATGTTTGATTCTAAATAAAGATTTTTATACAAATAAAAAAATAAAATATTTTAAATAATTTTTTGAATAAAATAAATAAATAAATAAATAATTGATCAATCATTTATTTTTATAGTTTTTATAAAAATCAGATAACAAATTGTCTTCAAAAATATAAAAAATTACTTTAATCTCTCTCTCTCTCGTGTTTCTTGTACTTGATATACATATATATACATATATTTATATACCTACCAATTTGCATCCAATATATATATCACACACCCGTACACACACGTACACATATATATATATATATTATACTTACCATTGTATTATTGTTAAATATAAAAAATATATATAATTAGGGTTTGGGCTCAAAATAAGAAGGAAAGTGGACCATCGGTGGGCTAAGGAATTGGTGGATTGCGTCCGTTGCAGTTTGGGTCAGATCGAGTTCAGTTGGTAGGCAGGGAAGCTCATCTGTTTTGAGAAGGTGGGGCGGTTGGAGTATACAATTGACAGGAACTGTCAGTGGTCGGTTGAGGGCACGATTCATCAGAAAATTGATTTCTAGAATTAATTGATAGCAGTTTGGTAACTGATTTGGTGAAGGTTCAGGGTGGTTCTGAAGAAAATATTTGAATATCCAGAGGAATCAGGGCAAGGGATATTTCAATCAGTCAAAATAAAAAATTTCATGTTGAATGTCACCCTTTACTTATTTGTTTATTACTTTACTGCATTGAAAGCTTATAGATATATTTATTACCCAAATTCGATAGTATTTTTCGAATTTTACTTTGTATTTTGAAAAATATCTTCAACAAATATATTATTATTACCTTAACACTGTAAAGATATTTGGGTGATAGTTTACTTTTTGTCATATGTCATATTTAAAAGGGGATAAATGATATATATATATATATATATATATTTATATATACAAATTGTTTTTGTAATTTGTATTAAATATATTATTGTATTTTAATTTTATATTTAAATTATAATTCATAAAATTTTGTATTTTATAAAATGACATTAATATTGAATATATTTTACTTATTTAAATTTTAAATATTTTTATTATATTTTTGTAATAAATTTGTTCTTTTTTTAAAAAAAAATTATATAACTCCAAAAAATATTGTAGAAATAAAATAAAATAAAAAATATAAAAAAATTAATTATTATTTTAAAAAAAATTTATATTAGCAAAAAATAATTAGTTTATTATTAATTAAGTATAAAATTGATTAAATTTATGATATTTTAAATATATATAATGATTTGAAAATTAAAAAAAATAAATAAAATTATCATGAATTTTTTTGTTGTGGGTATGAGATAAAAAGAAATATGTTGTCTGATATGACATTATATTTGAAATATTATATTAACATATTTTATATTAAATTAACAATTATTACACTCCATCCGTCCAATATAAAGAATAGCGTTTGCCCTTTTCACGTAAATTTTTAAATATTAGTATTCCCTTCGTCTCATAACAAAATATTCATTTTCTCATTTTAGTCCGTCCCATAACAAAGTATCAATTTCCTTTGTTAGTAATTGTACTATCTACCTAACATTACAAATACCCTTATAATATATTACACAAATGTCATACCTTTATATCACACATACCAATAAGGTTATTTTAGTCATTTTAACTTTATTCCTACTATATCCCAATATAATACTATTATTTCTAAAACTACGTGCAAAAAGTAAATGAATATTTACTTATGGGACGGAGGGAATATTATATTAGGTTGTAGTAAAAATATCCTTATTAGTACTATGTAATATAAAAGTGGTGAAATTTGTGCAATATATTGTAAATTTGAAGTGTATTTATTATGTTAGGTAGATAGTACAATTACCAAATTATAAAATGATACCCTTGTTTTTAACACGGACGAAAATAAAAAATAAAATCTTGAGAGGAATTCAAAATTTTAATAATATAAAAAATTCAAACCCTAACTCCAAAACATAAGTACAAACAGCCCCCAATTAACTTCTCCCTCCGTCTCATGTAATATGGGTGTATTACTGTATACACGAGAATTTAGGTAAAGTATAATTAGTAAGTAATTAAGAAGTGTATTAGTAAAAATAATTATTATTTAATAAAAATAATTATAGATTAAGATTAGGATAAATAAATAATTTAATTAAAATTAAAAAAAAATTATAAAATTTAAAATTTTAAATGCGATTAAAGTGGATAATTATATTTCTAAAAATAGAAAAGACAAGTTATGTGAGATAGACGTAAATAGAAAATAAAAACTAAGGAGAAATTATATGGAAATTAGTTAGTTGTGCACACAAAACATGCCTTTGTTCATATTATAACGGAAGAAGATATGTGCTGACTTGTTATTTAATAAATCCTATCCACTTAATTTTGTAATTAGTCAAGGGTATTTTAGTCTATTTAATTATTAAAAATTGTGATTAAGTTGAATTACAATTTTCATTATACAATCCACTCTGTATTGTAACTGTTCGACGTTACGGTGTGCATGTCACGTGCCGACTTAGGATGTGTTTGTTGGGGTTTGGATTTTAAATACATTATTTATCCTATTTTTTTCTCCAAAAATATCAAATCAAACACCTATTTTTCATTTTTTATATTATACTAAAAATTAATTTTATATTCAAAATATCACATCAACACCTATTTATATCACGTCGTATAACTATTCAAATTCAAAATTTTTACTATTCAAATCCTAACACAAAATCCAAATCCTCAAACAAACACACCTTAGAGAATTCGGGACAAGTCAAGATAATTTGTTTCTTAGTACATATCAACATATACATATATATATATATATATTTTGGTAAATTATATGATATCAAGTTGTATTATTTTATTAAAAATGCACAAAATATTATATGTTTTATTTATTATGTGAAACCCCTATATATTAATATAAAGTTTGCATAAAACATCGTGATATTTAGTTCTAAATAAAAACCTAATTTACGCAAGCTTTAAACAAATAAAAAGCGTAAAATATTTTAAATAATTTTTTTAATAAAATAATAAATAAATAATTGATTAATCTTTATTTTTATAATTTTTGGAGACAAATTGTTATATAATTTTTATAAAAACTATAAAAATAAATAATTGATCAATTATTTATTTATTTTATTTAAAAACAATTATTTAAGATATTTTAAGTTTTTATTTGTATAAAACTTGCGTAATTTAAATATTTATTTATAACAAAAAATCAGTCTTGGACAACGAGGGTGTTTCGTACAAATTTTGCATTAATATAAAGGGATTTCACGCAATAAATAAAATATAGAATGTTTTATATATTTTTATTAAAACACAAAGATGTGTTATATAATTTACCCTATATATATAATAATGGCATGTACAATCAATGACGAATCTAGGATTTTTAATTTATGAGTCGACAAATTAATATAAATAAAATAAATAAATACATTAACAAAAATTTGCATTAAAAAAAATCGAAACTTTAAATTAACAATTAATAATATATCAAAATAACTACAAGTGTTCACGATAAGATCTTATATTTTGGTATTGGTTGACAATAGTATCTATACTAACTTTCGTAAAAACATATCTTTCTTGAAAAGTAACGAAACAATTATTTCATAATTAATCTTTAATGTTATTTCGTGATTTGTTATTGATGATAGTTATGGTTGAAAATAATATTTTCACTATTGCAGTTGCTACAGAAAGAAGTTTCATAGAAGCGTGCTGACTTAATGTGAAAATGCGATCGATCACGTGAGTGCTTTTAGGGTGTGTTTGTTTGGGGGATTGGATTTTAAATAAACTGTTCATCCCAATTTTTTTTCCAAAAAAATATCAAATAAAATATCTATTTTTTATTTTTTATATTATACTAAAAATCAATTTTACATTCAAAACATCGGATCAATACCTATTTATATGGCATCATACAATTATTCAAATTCAAATTTTTTACTATTCAAATTCCAACTCAAAATCCAAACCCCAAAACAAATTCAAATTCCAAAATATCTCATTACATTAAACACCAATAATGAAATTATCCAATAATAATTCAAAAATCATCAATTTAGCTTTTGAAAATTCAATATGATATAATTTGCAAGTAGCTACAATCTCTCTCTATTTAAAAAAGAAAATTCATTAAAGAAAAAAGGACAAGACTGGTCGATAACTCTTTTGGTAGATCTTGTAAAATACTACAATCGTTACTTATTCATGAAATAAACATAGCACTAATAATTAGGAATGTATTTGTAATTTTAGTGATAATTAATATTATTTATTTTATTTTTTTTGGTAGGTCAATTGTGACCCACCTTGTCTAATGTTGCATCCGCCCCTGTTGTAACAGAACTAACTTTTAGAGTTCATTTAGGCAAAATTGTTCTATCAGTTTTATTTATATATTTTTTACTATTTCATTCATCTACTGGTAAAATTTTCATTTCATTTTTGCATGCTGATTAAGGTAAATTAATAGTATGGTTTTAGATATATGTATAATAAAGTATTATAATGTCTATTTTATTATTGACATTAAAGTAAAAATTATATGAAAAATAAAATATAGAGATATTTTGATATTTAGGGGGTGTATTCAATTGAGATTTTAATGGATTTTTTTTGTATTTTAAAAAGTCTATGGATTTATGTGGATTTAGAAAATTCACAGAGTCTACGTTGAGTTTGATGGATTTTAGTAATTGATTTAGATGGATTTATAGGGATTTGATTGAATTCTTTATGGATTTATATGGATTTTGTAGGATTGTAAAATAATTTTTTTCTCAATAAATATTAATTATATAAATTTATATCAAACAACAAATTTTATAAATATAATAAATAATTATTAATAAAATAATATTTAATATTAATAAATATTATATAAGTATTAATAATGTAGAACTATTGTAACATTTATAATACTACTATATTATAAATTATTAATTTTAATTTTATAATTTTAGTATTATATTATCATTCAATATATCAAATTAGTTTTATATTGCTTTATTAGTTATTATTATTATTATTTATATAATCTTTTTACATAAAAAGTAAATACGTATATAAATAAAATAAAAAATATAATTTACTATTTTTGAAAAAAAATATTAAAATAAATAAAATTAACGGTTCAACAAAAAAATATATATTTAAATATCTATTCACCGTTATCGTAATAATAATATAGTATATTCGATAATTGAAAAGAAAAGACGACAGTAATACATATTTATTGTGATAATAATATTTTTTAAAATTATATTTATAATATAAAAACATATATTTAAAAAAATTCATAATAATTTGCTAATATATTAGTTTTAAATTATCATTTTTATTAAAGATTATAATAATAGTAATAAATATTATCATATTATTGATCACATATACAATAATAATAATAATATTATTATTATTATTAATATTATTATTATTATTATTTTAAGAATTTATCAAAATTTCTAATGATGAGGAGAGATTCTTTCTTATATAAAATTTTGACAATTTTCCATTAAAATCCATAGACTGTTGAATACCTTAAGATTTTAAAAGACTTTTAAAATCTAGATTGAATACCTCTAGATTTTAAAAGATTTTAAAAGTCTTAATTGAATACACCCGAATTTTGAATGTTCAACAAAATCCTACAAAATCTATATTGAATACACCCCTTAGTTGAAAATAACTATTACTAAAAAAAAATAGAAAATTTTGATTTCAACGTACTAAAATAGTACTAATGAACGAAATGAATATTTTATTTCAACTTCAACACATTTCGAATTATTACCTCCGTCCTATAAGAAAAGTGCTATGGACTTTCTACATGTTGATATTTGAATATTAATTATTCTATCAACACGTTGTACAAATTAAGAGAAAATAACAAAAATACTTATATTAGTCTCTTATAATACAAATAAAATGACATTTGTAGAGTAAATTATATAATTATAAAAATATTTTTAATATTAAATAAAATGACGCAAAAAACAAATAATGCTGATTTTATAGGACGAAGGTAGTATTAATTTCTTACTTTGTATTTGATCATGTAGTTTGATTTTTTTGTGTGTGAATTTTTTATTTTTTATTTGTAAAACCAACTTGTCGTTCATTTCCACTTATTTGATACTATATTATCTTCTTTGATTATCCTTAACACGATAGTAAAATCAGGAAGAAGAAGAAGAAAATAACGAAAGTTAAAAAACTTAAAAAAAAAAAGAAAAAAATATGTTACAAAAGTAGTATATTTAAGATAAAAAAAAATTACATAACTTTTATATAATATATTTATAATTTAAATTATTATATATTATTGTAAATCAAAATAATATAATGAAATGATAAAATAAAGTACCTAAATTGGATTTGGGGGAAACTACATAATTAGATTAAAAATATATATATACTTAAAAAAACAATTATTGGTATTTGTTATTATTCGAGTATGTTTTTGATAAATTATCTCTTACAAGACAATTACTTAGTTGTAAGTTAAATTAAAAAATAATTTATTTGAATTTTTAAAATATGTGTTTGTTTTAACATTTTTCGTTTAGAATATTTTTTTTTATATAAAATAAGAAAAAATAAGTTGATAATATAAAAAGATATTCCATTCATCCACTAAATCTATATATATATATATATTATCCAAATAGGAAACATACATTTATAACAAACAATTCTTACTCTTTTTAATTATATTTTTTAACAAAAAAAAAAAATGTATTTACAAATATATCACCACTGCTTATACATTCAAATTTTCTTTCGTTCCGTAAGGGATCGCCTGGTGGTGTAAGGGTTGGACTTGTGACCGTAAAGTCATGGGTTTAAACCCCCGACACCTCAGGTCACCTGCCACACATGGATCGCCTAGTGTGACTTTCCCGCCGGACCTAGTTTGCAGGGTATTAAGTTCGACCGGGGGTTTACCTAGTGCGCACTTTCGGGCTTGGTTTGCAGGAGTGATAGTTTGTATTAAATTATTAATTTTTTGTGATAATATTTAATACATATTATTTAAAACTATTATCAATAAAATAAATCAACTTAGACATCATCCAATAAAAAATAAAATTTTAAATAATATAATTTATTTATACACGATTAAATAAATAAATTTATAAAAATATATATACTTTAAATGTATACAAATATATTTATTCATTTACGATAAATAAAAATAAAAGATTACAAATGGTCTCGCCTTAAACAATTGAGAAAGAATTAAAATGAAAAAAAAATGTAGTATAACGGTAACTTACACTCAAACTGCAAAACAAAACAAACCCATAATTTAAATAATTATTTTATTATTTAAAATAAATTTGAGAATTATATTTAAGTAATATAAATAAAAAATGTAAATAAAAATTACAAAAAATGTAAAAAAAAAGAAAAAGAAGATATATAATTTAAAATGTTTAACACTTTCTTGGTCTAACCATATTACAATCATTTATTTTTTATATAAATTTTAAAATATTAACATTTTATATGTAAAATACTTTTCTTACTCTTAAATACATTTGTTTTAATGACATTCTTTCTAATATTATGGAAAATGTAAAATTACTTTTATTTAAATAAAAAATACAATTACTAGAAAAGAAAATTCATATAGTGATTATATAAAAATTCAAATAACAAAATAAACACATTAAAAATGGACCAAGAAAATATATACTCTCTCCCCTCGTCTTATAACAAAGTATCCATTTTTCCATTTTAGTTGTCCCATAACAAAGTATCAATTTTTTTTAGTAACAGTATTATCTACCTAACATTACAAATATCCTTACAACTTACAATATATTATACAAATATCATTACCTTTATATCACACAATACTAATAAGGTTATTTTAGTTATTTCTACTTTATTCCTATTACATCCCAATATAATACTAATATTTCTAAAACTTCGTGCAAAAAGCAAACAGATACGTAGTTATGGAACGGACGGAGTAATTGCCATAAAATCTTACTCCCTCCGTCCCAATACAATAATCATATATACTATTTTTGTCTGTCCCAAAAAATAGTCTCATTTCCATAAATAATTATACCACTATAAAACTACCTTTACATTTTCATTATTATTACACAATTGCCACTACTTTTTACACTAATACATTCATAAAGGCAAAAAAGTCTTTTATCCGTACTTTACCCACTACCAATATAATATCAATGTTTTTTAAATCCCGTGTCAAATCCAACTTATACTATAGTTTTGGGACGGAGGGAGTATTTTCTAAATAATATCCCTATTAAACATATTTTTATTGAAATATAATTTTCAAAATACTAAAAACCACATATCTAAAAGCCAAATTACAATATTATAACAAAATAAAAAAGGCCTCATTCCTTAGTGCCATGTAACACCCTTACCACCATTCCAAGAAAAAACATTACACAGTTCCGGCGGCCACCCGCCGGAACAAGTCCCCGGCCGGTAGCCGCGGCGTCGGCACCACCGCTAGCGGCGTCCCCATGTAAGTAACCGTCCCCGGCTGCTCCATCATGTCCATATCCTCCGGCCTAATTCCGGCGGGCGGCGCCCACGTGAAGTGGTGCAACATATGCCCGACCATCGACGTGACCAAAAAAATCGCAAGCTGCGCGCCTGGGCAGATCCGCCTGCCCGACCCGAACGGTAGCAGCCGGTAGTCGGTCCCCTTCATGTCCACGTCCTCCTCGAGGAACCGTTCGGGCCTGAACTCGAGCGGGCTTTTCCAAACGGCCGGGTCGCGGGCCAGGGCCCAGACATTGACGCTCACTGTCGCGCCTTTCGGGACGTGGTATCCCCCGATTTTTACGTCGGCGTTCGCCTTGTGCGGGAGCATTAGCGGCGTCGGCGGGTGCATCCGGAAGCATTCCTTCGTCACGGATTGTAAGTACGGGAGGTTCGGGATGTCGGCCTCGGTCATCACCCGGTCGGTCCCGACGACGCGGTCGAGCTCGTCTTGCGCCTTTTGTTGCACGCGCGGGTTTCTCACGAGCTCTGCCATCGCCCACTCCACCGTGATCGTCGTCGTATCCATTCCCGCCGAGATCATATCCTACACACATTTCAAATCAAGACCTGTCTGGTTTTCGACGTTTTAAAGAATTTTGAAGTTTTTTACACTATTCATTAATACTTTGTCCGTCCCTTATCTATCCATCAATTTTTTTTTGCACGGAGTTTTAGAAATATTAGTATTATATTAGGGTGTGGTATGGATAAAGTAGAAATAACTAAATTAACTTTATTAGTATTGTGTGATATAAATATAATGACATTTGTGTAATATATTGTAAATTATAAAAGTATTTTTAATGTTAACAGAAAGTACAGTTACTAAATAGATACTTTGTTATGAAACGGACCAAAATAGAAAAATTGATAAAGTGTTAAGGGACAGAGGGAATATTAATTTATTTTTTGAAATATCTAATCAGATACCATAATAGTATTTTATTAGTTAAAGAGGTTTTAACATTTTTACCATTTGAGTTTATGTATAAAATTATTGTATATGTAATTATATTTTTAATTTAAGTTAAAATTATGGGTATTTTCGTATTAGTGTATGATTACTTTTTCTAAAATAGAAAAAAAAATTACTTTAAAATAAAACAAATAAAAATGATAAAATTGATATTTTGAATTGAAATAGAAGGAGTAATTTAATTATTTTCAATTTTTCTTTCAAAACTCCAAAATCTCTTTATGAACAAAACCTAAAAATTTAAGTATTTTGATATTTATATCTTTCTCAAAACTTATGGTCACATAGACATAATTTTAAATGACGGAGGGAGTATATATTTTTGAAAAAACTATTATTGATGAATAGTATTAAAATTTTCAAAAGTACGTAGATATCAGAAAATACCCAGAGGAGGCCAATGACGGTGTCTTCGCTAAGGTCGTATTGCTTTTGAAGGGTCAACAACGCGTCGACAAAATGGTTCTTGGTATTCCCCGTCTTCTTGCGCGCAATCGTGTGTTCTTCCATGATTTTCTTGGTGAAGTTATCAGCGCGAGCATCGTGCTCGGCTAAGGCGTCGTAGTCCGCCTTGAACAAAAAACTCAACCACGGAAGGAACTCGGCGAACGATTTCTTGGTGCCCAACTTAATCCCATTGTTTAGGATCGCCTTCAACTCTCGGCCTTGTTCGTCGATGACACCGTTGTTGTCCATGAACCTCTTCCCGAATGTTAACCGTGTTATGTGAAGGAACGCCATCATCCCCAAGTATTCTCGCAACACTAAAGCCTTCCCTTTGTTTTCTATACACAATCGCGACAATGTCAAATGTTGTATAAATGTAATAACATCGTACGAATGCTAGAGTTGTTATTCGAGCTTAGTCAAGTATCTTATTTTCGAACTCGGACAAAACTTCTATCGAGACGAGTGAATCGAACTCGAGGTCGCCATAATCGGTTATTTATTAAAAGTATAACAAAAACCCATATTTATGGTGCATTTTTTTTTTAATGACGTGAGAACACGCAACCGCTACCCGAAAGACAAGTCACACTAGGTAAACCATATGTGACAGGTGACCTGAGGCGTCGGGGGTTTGTCCCATAATTTTACGGTCACACGTCCAACCCCCATACCACCAGATCATCCCTTACCGGACATGTGCTTTTTTTTTTTTATTTTGAAAGTTCGATTTTATTGTTACATAGTGAGATGTTTGGTTTTACATTTGAGTTTGATTGTAATATATATTTGATTATAACAAATAAATATTTTTTAAAAAAATTTATATTTATATTCAATAGTAGTATGATATTATTTTATAAATATTAAAATAAATATAATCATTTATACAAAAATTAATATAATTTAGTTTATAAAAATAATTTTTTAAACATATTTAAATATCTTTATTTTTTCAGGAAAAATACAAGTATCAAATATTAAATAATTCTTTTTTAAAGAATTTAAAGAATAGTAAAAAAAATGATTAGGAGCTAGTACAGTATAACCAATTGAACAGATTAATTTTAACAAAATAATAAAAAGAGAGACTTAAGTCAATGTTTGTGTTTTTTTTTTTTTTTTTAAAGTATAATTAGATCTTTATATTTGGTCTATAAATGACAACTAAAAAAAAATAAAAATAAAGTAAATGACAAATAACAAATGAGTACTCTCTCAATTTCAATAATTATAGTATTAATTTTTTGTTTTCTTTTTTTTTTTCTGTTAATTAAACTTATGCATAATTTATAATAAATAATTTTTATTATCTATAATTTTATTGTTTTTATTTTAATAAATAATAATTAATGTATCATTTTCTTTTCTACTTATTTTTATTTATTAACTTTTAAATATAATTTTTATAATAGTTATATCTTACTTTTTACCTACCAAAATTTTACATTAAAATAATATCAAATGTGGCATAGAGAGTTGAGACAAAGGAATAATGTACTTTCTCCTCGGTCAAAATTATAACATTAATTTTTTAATCAATATATTTATAATATATTACTTTATTTATTTATAATTTTATTATTATTTATTTAAAAAATAATAATATTTTGTTACGTCTTTTCCACTTATTATTTTTTTTAATTAATTTTTTGATAAATTTCGTACTCCAACTTTATTCTAGTCTCGTATCCAAACAAACCTACTAATTTTAGCGGCCGATACTGATGATATATATATATTTTTTTATAAGTTTGAAAAAATTTAATTTTGATATTAAAATAACCGTATGATAAAATATTTTATAAAAAAATATATATATTTTTTAAAAAACCACATATTTTAAATTGTAAAAATTGGAGTTTGAGAACAAAAGAAAAGTATAATACTTCTTTAATCCCAACTAAATTGTCATATTTCTTTTAGCACTAGTAAAGAATTAACAGGTGTATTGATAAAAATAATAATTATTTAATAAAATTATTATAGATTAAGATTAAAATTACTAAATAATTTAATTAAAACTTAAAAAAAAAATTATATATTTTAAAATATATAATTATATATATATTTAAAAAAAATAAATTATATGGAACATACCGAAATAAAAAAAATAAATAAAACGAATAGACAAATTAGATTGGAACGGTCAAAATAGTAAATCAAAAATCAAAACGGTGACGTACCAGGTTTAATGGCGTCGTTGTAAATAGACTCAACCATGGCGGTAACTTCATCTTCCCTGATTGGTCGAAGCCCTTCCAGCCTCTTCATCGAGAAGAGCTCCAACGTGCAAACTTTTCTTACCTTAACATAGTGCGGTCCGTAGTCCGCCCAGATCAAATCCATGCCGTTCTTACTGAACTTCGCGATCTGACGTGTCCGGTTCCGATTGGCCAGCTGCTGATCCTTCTCCTTCAGGACCTCCTTCGCCAGCTCCGGCGAGTTCACCACCACGCTCAGGTGGGACCCGAAGTACACTGAGAAAATCGGGCCGTAGATTTTTGACCATTCTGTGAAGCAACGGACCAGGACCGGCTTCAGGTCGTAGAGGTTTCCGACCACCGGCAGCGGCCGCGGCCCCGGCGGCAGCTTGAAGCGGAGGCGCCGGTAGAGCTTGTAGGCGGCGAAGATGGCGGCGACGGCGGCGATTGCTAACCCGAAAGACATTGTTGGTAGGGGAAATGGGTGGTGAGATGGTGGTGGAAGTGGAATTCGAGAGTGGGGGTTTTATAACATGGGTGGGTAGGTGGGTGAGTGGGGCCTGCCCGGGATCCATTCTGTTTGATAGGATTATGTTTGTAAAATTATTACTCCTAGATTTTTTTTTTTGGAGTTTCATAGGGTGTGTTTCTCAGGGTAGGAATAATTTGAGTTTGATTTTTATTTAAATTTTGAGATTGGTTTCAATTTTGATATTTTTTTGTATTTATGTTCAGTTGGAGTTTGGAGAATTTTGATGTGTGTTGATTTGATAGATAATAAATAAAATAATATAAATTTATATTAAATTTAATTAATAAAGTTTTTGTATGATTTGATTATGAATTTATATTATACCCGATATATATTTAAATTTTTATTTATTTGTATTATAAAAAAATATATTCTCTACAAAATAACATATATATATTGTATATTCTTTTTTTTTTTTTTTTTTTTTAAAAAGTAAAAGTTGCATATCAAACATGCCTGTCAGACGGTAGACAACCCCAATTTTGGGTTGAAGAAACACACCAGTAGTAAATTAAAAAATAGGAAAGAGATACTTTGGAGTGGGACGGACGAAAATGGTAAAAATGGTATTTTCAGTTGGAATGAATGGAGTATGATTTTATTAGTTAGTTGAAATGTTTAAGAGATTTTGATTATTTTGTTTTTAATTTTATATATAAAGTAATTGTATATGTAATGGTATGTTTGTAATTTAAGTAAAATTAAAAGTATTTTGATATTAATGTATAATTATTTTTTGTATGAAATAAGTATTTTATAGTGAAACAAACAACGATGTTAAAAATGTTAATTTCTTTTTTTTTGGATCGATGTTAAAAATGTTCTTTGAATGAGCATATGTTTGGTAATATATTAAAAAAATAATAATATTGAATAGAAGTATGTAAAATATTTTTGATATTTTTATCATTTTACTATATCCATAAAATAAAATAATTGTATATCTAATGTTATATTATAATATAATAAAAATATATATATTTTAATATGAGTGTATAATTATTTGAATAATAAATAAATATTTTTTAATGTAACATATAAATACGATCAAAATGATTCTTTGAGTTGAAAAAGGAAAAATATATATAATATTTTATTAAAAGTAATTAAAGTAAAAAATAATTAAAGATATTTTTTAAAAATTAATTAAAACTTTAAAAAAATAATGTAATACTATAAATAAATTAAATAGAGAATAATTAAATATTAATTTATTGATTTTGTTAAATTAATAATAAAATAACTAGCTAAAAAATAGAATAAATTTTACTAATGAAGTATTGTTTTATATTTAAAAATAAAATCATTATAGTGTGTAACTTAAGTTAATATTATTCAATTTATTTTTAATAAAGATAGAGTATTTATCTTTTTTATAGTGAAATATTGTATTAAAATAGTATTTAAATTAAATCTTAAACTTAAATTAAACCCAAAAAATCTTTTTAAGTAAAATAAATCAATTTTGTATTAATTAATTTATCTTTAAAATCAAATTTATAGTATTTATTTTACAAATAATTTTTATAAACAAAAATATTATTAATATATACAAAAAGTACAATTAAGGAAATTTTCTAAAAATATTTAAATATTTAATTTATTGAATAAATGGATTGCTTTTAATATTTATAATAATTTTAGTAATAGTGTGATATTTTGTTATATCAAAAAATTCAAACTAATAGTAAATACCTAATTAAAAATAGTTAAAACTATAAACATTTGACAAACAATACTTTCACATTTTATTTATTTTATATCTTAAAAATTAATATTAAAAAACAATAAAGATAAAAATAAATAATAGTTATAAAATATTTTTCAATAAAAGATACGTAAAGGACTTTATTTTTGTCCATAATTTGGGGTTAGCTGGGGTTTGACTTGAATATTTGGGTTTTCTGAAGCGGAGACTTTTCTGGGGGTGGGAGGGGAATAAGTGGCATGTTTGGGGCTATTTCGTAAACAAAAAAGATATGTACCAGAGTGGTGAAATTAGGTTGTACTTGTTGGGTTGGTGGGTGGGGTAGGGTAGTATTAGAGTTATAAAATAAATAAATATATTGTTCACTAGTTCAGTTTAATTTGATTTCTTTTAAAAAAAAAAAAAAATTCGTTAAAAACTCACTCCTTAATCTAAATGAATTACTCCCTCTTGTCCCACGTACTATGTCCATGTTGCCGTTTTTTCCGTTCTATATACTATGTTATTTTTATTTGTTGAAAAATGATTATACACTTTAATCTCATTTTCAACTTTTTAATTTTATTTTTTAAAATTTTAATTAAACTAATTAATTATCTTAATCTTAATTTATAATTATTTATATTATAAAATAATTATTTTCACTAATACATTCTTAATTATCTACTAATTACACATCTCCTAAAATACCGTCTCTACAGTGTACCAGACACGGTATGGGGACGGAGGTAGTAATAAATTTCAGTTATATTATGGGTTTGTTTACTTTTTTTTAGAAATATTAGTATTATATTTGGATATAGTAGGAATAAATTAGAAATGATTAAAATAACCTTATTAGTATGTGTGATATAAATGTAATAACATTTGTGTAATATATTATAAGTTGTAAGGGTATTTGTAATAGATAGTACAATTACTAAAAAAAATGAAATATATACTTTGTTATGAGACGGACTAAAATAAAAAATATGAACACTTTGTTATGGGATATAGTGAGTATATATTTTTATGTTAAATATGATGAATAGTATTAATAATATAAAAATACTCCCTTCTTCTCATAACAAAGTATTCATTTTTCTATTTTAATCTGCCCCATAACAAAATATCCATTTCTTTTTTTAGTAACTGTACTATCTACCTAACATTACAAATACACTTACAACTTACAATATATTACACAAATGTCATTACCTTTAAATATCACACATACTAATAAGGTTATTTTAGTCATTTCTACTTTATTCCTATTATATTTCAATATAATACTAATATTTTCAAAACTACGTGCAAAAAAAAAATATATTTAATTCCGGGACGGAAGAGTAATCTTTTTTTATTGAATATTATATTTTTATATAATATTTATAGGAAATTATACCATCCAAAAATAGGTTGAGTGAACAAACCCGATATTTTTATATAAACTCGAATTTATTTGCAGATGTTCGATGATAAACTTATATCAATTGTTAATTGTTTATATTTAATAAATAAATAAATAATTTTTTAATAATATTACATTTTATTCAACTCTCGTTAAATTTACCTTATTACTTCGTTGTATTGACAAAGTAAAATAAAATTAGCATATACTCCTTCCGTCCCACATAATTTGTCCTTATTTTATATTTTCGTCCGTCCCACATAATTTATCATTTCATTTTTTGGAAAATTGATTATACACTTTAATTATATTTTAAAATTTAATTTTTTTTAATTTTAATTATACTATTTAGTTATCTTAATCTATAATTATTTTTACTAATACACTTCTTAATTAATTATTAATTATATTTTACCTAAATTCTCGTATCTACGCTAATGCGCCCATGTTATCTAGAACGGAGGAAAAGAGTAATTATTATTCATATTCAATATTTATTTATAATAAATGCAATTGATTTCATTTTATATATTTCTAATTAAAATTTTAAAAATACATTTATCTATTTTTTTATTTTTTTTTTTGACATTTCTCCTTTTATTTTTTTTAATAAGATATTTATTTTTTTCATTAATGAACGGAAGAGTACTTAATTATATATATATATATATAAACATATTAATAAATACTAGTCTTTCTGTTTAGTAAATTTAGTCTCGTTTTTTACAAAATAATAAAATATTGAGATAAATTTGTCGGACAAAGAAAATAATTATTATTACTAAACAAGTTTAAATTAATTTAATATAAAATTAAATATTATGTAACGAGTCAAATTCAATTAAAAAAATTCTTAATAAGTAAGTTCAAATAAAATTTCATACTTCCTCCGTCTTGATACAATAGTTTTGTTTATCATTTTTGTCCGTCCCAAAATAATAGTCTTATTTCTATAAATAATCATATCACCATAAAATTATCCCTATTTTTTCATTATTATTACACAATTGTCACTGCATTTTACACTAATATACTCACAAGGTAAAAAGGTTAATTATTCTTAACTTTTACCAAGTACTAATATAATATCAATATTATTTAAATTCCGTACTCAACACAATAAGACTATAATTTTGGAACAGATGAGAGTATTTATTAGGTCATCATGAGCTGAGTTCAAACTCAAAAAATGATGGTTGGTTAGCAGGTTTGGGCATGTTAGGTTTGGGCTCATGTCTGAAGAGTTGGCTTGAACGGTAGGTTTTTGACTTATTATTATTATTATTATTATTATTATTTATTATTTATTATTTCCTCCTTCCCACATAATTTGTCCCTATTTTTTATTTTCGTCCGTCTCATATAATTTTTTATTTCTATTTTTGGAAATATAATTATGCACTTTAATCGCATTTTAAATTTTAAATTTTATAATTTTCTTAATTTTAATTAAACTATTTACTTATTTTAATCTTAATCTATAATTATTTTTACTAAATAATAATTATTTTTACTAGTATACTTCTTAATTACTTACTAATTATACTTTATCTAAATTTTCGTATATACAGTAATACACTCATATTACATGGGACGGAGGGAGTATTTATTATTATTATTATTATTATTATTATTATTTGACTATTCTTAGTATTACCTAACAACCTAAAGCGGGCGGACTTTGAAAATGCGATTTTGTTGATATGCTGCTCTTTTCCCATGAACTCGTTTTGTGAGGACTTTGCGAAAGACAAGTGCGCTTTTGTATTGCGGCCTGTTATCCTGTGCTTTTGTTTTATTTTCTAATTAATTAATTAATTAATTTTTATTTTTTTTTACGATAAAGTAAGAATTTTCGGCCGCTGTTTAACAATTGCGTTCTATATAAATTTTCGATCGAACTTAATAATTTACAAACTAAGCTCAATATATATATATATTTTATCATTTTATCGGTCCATTTCAAAGGATTATTTTTTTAAAAAAATATTCATATATATATATATAAATACACAACAAAAAAATATTATATTTGTAACGGAATTTCGTCCCTAAAAATGACGTAGCTAACGTAATTCTATCATTAATTCCGTCTCTAAAATCATTAGTGACGGAAAAACTGAATTTAAAGACGAAAAAATCTCGTTACAAAAATGATATTTTCTTGTTGTGATATCCAAATATTTTTAATTTTATAAAATTATTTTTTTAATTTGAATTTTAAAGATAAAAATATTAAAATTATTTTATATACTATTTTTTTTTGAAATATTATATAGAAAAAAAAAATCTTTATTGAATTGAGACTGAAAAAGTATAATACTTCATTTTGGAAATTTTGACAGGTTGAGGCTTAACCCAACGAATCCCTCGAAAATAAAATAAGTCGATGCACTATTTAACTCGATCACCTTAAACTCTAAGTCCAATCTAAATAGTTAGCCCATTTTGTTATGTTTGTTATAACCCTGTGTTAATTTCTTGGATAGTTTTATATTAGTGTGAGAGAGAAACTCATCCGTGACATATAGGAGGGAAAGGGAGAGAGAAAACGAGAGAACCAATGGAGTTTTGGTGAGTTCCGAGTGTTTTTCAGTGAGTGAGAAGTTTTTCCGATGACTGATTTCGGTGGTTATCGAGGTTTAGAGTATCGAACGGACCTCCAACAGACCTCCACTTTATGACGTGATTACCTCGGGCAATTTTATACTATAGAATGAGTAGAAATATCGTTGTCCTTAGGACGTCTGCAACCCATTGCATAGTAGGTCGTCCAAAAATTGGAGGGGGGAGGGGAGAGGAGGGGCATAGCAACACATGTTCATCGTGACTATAACTACCACTTCAGATGGACATTTTGAGAAATTTTTTTTAATAAACTATTGTTATATTAGAATGAGAAGTGGGTTGTTAGTGTTTTAATAATTTAAATAGTGAAAAGATATATTTATAGACAAATTTTGAATAGATATCAAATCTTATCGATTGAAAAACTTAATCTCAAACGTTCATTTAGATTTCATAACACTCGAACAATTGGATCAAATTTTTTTTTTTTTTTATCAATTTCAATTATTTATATTATATTTGACTATATATATTATAAAAATCTACTTGTCCATATCAAAACAATATAAACTGTTCATTTAGATTTTATCTTTTTGTTGAGGAAATATTTATATCATTCAAATAATTATTACTTATTATACTCTCCCGTCCTAATATAATAGTCTTGTTTACTATTTTTGTTCGTCCCAAAACAATAATTTTATTTTCATAAATAATCATATCACTATAAAACTATCCATACTTTTTCATTATTATTATACAACGCCACTACTTTTTACACTAATACACTTACAAGAGCAAAAAAGTCTTTTACCCATATTTTTTTATTCACTATCAATATAATATCAATATTTCTTAAATCTCGTACTGAACACAACCCATACTTTAGTTTTGGGACGGAGGAAGTATATTATAAAAATCTATTTATACTATCTCCTATATGTACGACGTAAAATTCACTTATATGAGTATGATATCAATGTAGAATAATTTAAACGAAAGAGCACTAGCAAAATATGCAAAAAGTAGGGATTTGAAATGGGGCGGGTTAGCCCCGGACCGCTTTTAATGGGGCAGGTTCGGGTCTAAATAATATGTTTCGAGGCTGTGGATTTAAAATTTTAAATTTGGCCGGGTTCAGGGCGGGTTACGGATTTTACTAAAAATCCGCTCCAATCCGGACCCGAATCCAAACTCGGATATTTTTTAAAATTATTATAACTAATATATATATACAATTATATAATAAAAATATATTATTTATTTACTTAAATAATTTTAAATATAAAATTCAATTAGTCGTCTGCTCCAAATAATTTTTTAAAATTATTATTTTTATGGATCAATATTTTCTAGCGGGGCGGGTCTCGGGACCTGCAGAACCCGTCCCGAACCTGCCCCGTTGACATCCCTAGCAAAAAGCACTTGTTTTATTTATTTATTTTTTTCGTGTATGGTAAATTTATAGATTAAGTGAAACAAACATTTATTTAATATTTTGAACATAAATAAATATTAGAGTAAATTTCATTACCGATCCCATTCCACATCATATTAGACTATATATATGGCAAAATTATTTTCAGTAGAATTACTTTTGATGAAATTTTTTATATAGAAAATGATTAAAACTCTTCTATTTACAAAAGAGTGTTTTTACAGTTTTTGGAAATATAGATTAAAAAAAAGTAGGGTAAGTTGTTTTTTAGTCCAATAACCGGATCCGTTAAAAAAAGTGAAACCTGTCGCAAACTAGTTCCATAAGTGAAAAATTTTTGTTGCTTTAGTCCTCCGGCGCCGGAGACGCCTGCGTGGCTCGCCGGAAGCCACGTGTCCCGCCAGGTCAGCGACACCTAGCGGACACGTGGATTATATATTTTTTTCTTTTTTTATTATTTTTTTAATTGGACCAAATAAAATTTTTTAAAAAAAAGCAAATAAAATTAAAAATAATTTTTTTAAAAAAAATTATAAAAAAAATTAAAAAAAATCCAAATGTCCGCCAAGTGTCGCTGACCTGGCGGACACGTGGCCTCCGGCGAGTCACGTGGGCGTCTCCGGCGCCAGAAGACTAAAACAGCGAAGAATTTTCACTTATGGAACTAATTTACAACAAACTCCACTTACGGGACTAAAATGATAAGAGCGTCCAATTATGGAACTAAAAAACCAGTTTACAAAAAAAAGAGTAATATTCTTTATATTATTCTAATATCTTTAATTAGATAAAATTGAAACTTTTATAGGATTATATAAAATTTGAATTAACGTACACTATAAGAAATATATAGGGTTTAATAGTGACAATAATATAAATAAATAAATAAATAACGGACAGAAATTCAAACAAAAATAATTTTTTTACTAAATATGATATTACTCTTTGCCTCATTTGTATTTTACATTAAAAATATTATTAAATGTGTATAATATACTTCATAAATGTTATTATATTTTTATTATAAAGTTATTTTCAACTCATTACTTTCATTTTTGCAGCAGTAAAATGTAATTGATTTATAATAATTTTATTCTAACCACAAACTTCAATATTTATTCTAAAAAAATATTTTCTATATATTCCTCTTTCATACTATTTTATATAATTTTTCATATTTATAAATTACACTATAACTTTAATTTATTTTTACATTATCACTAATAAATATATAATTTATATTATATTTATAAAATAATACTCCTATATCACTTTTTAAAAAATAAATTAGATATTATTTTTTTAAAAAAACATTAAAATTACACCTCACTTTTTTAAAAACTAAAATTATATATTACTTTTAAAAAATTAAATATACTGTATTATTTTTTTAAAAAATAAAATTATATATCACTTAAAAAAAAAACAAAATTACACAAAAAAACCCAAAAATAACAAAAATATATAAAGAGAGTGTTTGACAAAGAGCTTTCTGAAGAGTGTTTAGATTATCTCATCAGTTAAAACTCTTTTTTTATCCGATTAATCATTTATTCTTATTTGATCAATATCAGTTTTACCAAACATGATAATTAATTCTCATCCTCTACTAAATTATATTTCTCTCCAATTCCATTGTCTACTCTCATTTATCTGCAATTTCATTTTTTGTACCAAACGCCCCCTTAAGGCGGATTGGTTGGAAATATATGCAAGTTAAAATCACATTACATAAAATCTCCATGTTGTGCATTCACACATGATCAAATATTAGATTATATTGATATTGTGACTCCGGATCGGTCTCATTGTATTAAATGCAGTGATGACCGTTTTGATCCGCATTGATGTGATTTAAAGATAAGATTGGTAAAATACATGAAATGATCTGATAGCAAAATTTTTATGAGATCATAAGATTATACAATATACATTTACCTAAGTGAGATTATTGGATTAAAAATTCAATTGTGGGTTAAATATAACTGTTTGAGCTATCAATCAAGTTAAGCTTACATTAAATGATCTATTAAATTTATTGGGTTTAAATGTATTTAGTAAGTGCGGGTCTCCAATGTGTAGAAACTCGTTAACTTATTAATTGAGTTATGAGACCAATTAATAATAAGGGATGTATATTAGGATTGTGAACCGAGGTCTAACGCCACTATTTTTCATATCTCATCGTGAGAGTAACGACAGAAATTCTAGAGGTTGTTTTAAGAGGGGCTGGGTCATAGGCTCGAAGAACACAAAATCCTCAACTAATTTATAGATGCGAATCCGCTTATGTTAATGGAATCAAGTCAGATTTAATTATCTTATTTTTTTATCTCAATTTTTTCAATACGATAGATCCTGTAGAGTTTAATTCATGATAAATTCCAATATCTGGAAGGGAAACCATGGTTAGAGTTACAAGAAATATAAGAGGAAATGAAGATATTTGTAATTTTAAAATATTAGAAATGAAGATTCAGAAACTCATTCACAGTTTACGGCGAGCCACGCGAGCGTCTTCGGCGTCGGTGGACTAAAACAACGAAATTTTTTCACTTATGAGACTAGTTTGCGACAGGCTCTACTTACGGGACTAAAATGATAAAGGGGTCCAGTTACTGAACTAAAAAAACAGCTTACCCAAAAAAAAAAAAAGAAATAGCTGGACGGCGAAGTTAGTAAATCCTCTCGGCAGTCATGACCGGGCGGAGGAAAACAACGATGACCGTTATGTTATCTTTGCTGCCTCGTTGAATAGCTTCCGTCGCCAGTCGCTTGGCGCACATCCCAGGCTCTTTAACGGTGTCTTTGATTATTCCGATCACATCCGAGTTGCTCATGGCATCCCATAGCCCGTCGCTCGCCATTACCTGAGAAAGTAGCGCGCCATTATTGATCCCCACAAATAAACAAACTCGTCGTTGCTTGGAGAATCAAACTATTATTGCTTACTGTTGGAAAACTATATAATACCCCCTTCGACTCTTAAAAATATAATCAATTTCTTTTTATTTGTTTCTTATAAATATTCTTATTTTATTTTAATATAAAACTATACTCCTTCCGACGTAAGGAAGATGTTCTTTCAAAACAAAGTATTATTTAGTAATTGTACTATTTGTCTAACGTAATAAATACTCTCAATTTACAATAAATTCCACAAATATCATTACTTTCAAATTATACAGTACTAATAGGAATATTTTTTTCTTATTTGCTGTAAACTAATATAATACTAATATTCAAATTATTAGTTAAAGAAAAACAAAGACTACTTTTATTATAGGACGGAAGGAAATACTATTTTTTTTATTATAAAATGTAAAAAATAATAAAAAGTCGACACTCGCATTAAAACTCATGCCCAAAGTATGAAAGCACTTTTTTGGAGACTGAGGGAGTATGTAATTAATGCTACATATCTTGCGAGCTAAATTTTTGAATGAAATGATCATTTAATACTTACCATATATTCATCCTCGGCAGATAGAGAAGTTTCGGTTATCTCAGGCTCCGCGGTTACGAATGGTTTTAAATCATTGTCGCCAATGGACCGCGTAACCTAATGAAGTTTCAGACAAGTGACTTATATGCCATCGGGATGTGAATAAAACCATAAAAATAATCGAGTCTACAGAAGTCTCCAACCTGGAGGGCTGCACGACCGACTCGCCATGTATCTACTTGCCACACGACTTCGCCACCCGCGCGGATGATGCGCTCTCTCTCGTCGGGACAGCTCGCCACAAGATCCTACTATATTCAAGACATTCATTCACTTCTTAAAACAAACAACGAAAAACAATTGGTTCAAGAAAATCTCATTATCTCTAGCATTTTCGATTTCTTGAATTAGTGAAAGAACTGAGGAAAGCGCGCCTCACCCTGGTTAACGTGTAGGAATTTCCCGATCGACATAGTATTGCTCTGCAATCGCCGGCATTTGCAACAAAAACCTTGTCTTTATTTATTAAAGCGGCTACTGCAGTACAGCCGGGGTGCCGGTCTTTCTGTATGCCGCTATGCTTTAACTTTCGACAGGAATTCATTTCGTTCCTAAAATAAGTATCCGTCTTCAGAAATGCTTCTCGCAGCGCTTCAGATGGACTGCGCGCAGGGAGAGGAAGAACTTGCTTCATTACTATTCACTAATTCGTCCAAATGATCGAATAGAAGAATTTGAGCATTGATCATGAGAGATCACCTTGTTGTCGATGCCAATGATTGTAAAATATTAGGTAGCGCTCCGGCCGAATACTCAGCAGCTTCGGCACCTGCATATTATAGCGAGCTTATATTCTTCGCCAATTCTCGACAAAAAAAGCATACAAATAAAATGTTTTCTTTTTTAATGACATGAAAATCCAGTCGTTATTTTTCGAGTGTGCTCTAAAGTAAAGTTCCGGCCAAATCTAATAATTTGTAAACTAGGTCCGATAAGACAAGTAACAAGATCTGAAAAAATGCATTGCTTTTAAAAGTATAAATGGTTGCTTGCTAAAAATTAACATAAGCCGCTATCGTTAAACACAACATAATACGCTAAAACGAGAATATCGTTCAAAATTTAGAAAGATTGATTGCCACATACCTCGATGCCCATCGAAAATTCCAAATAAGTGCACGTCTCTTTCGTTGCAAAAATTGGGTATCATAAAGTGTGTATCCTCCATGTTTTCACGTCTCCCGGTAGTCGAGAAGGAACCCGAAGATAAGACTGGTCGATAATCTGCATTTTTCGATGAAAGCCAAGCAGAAGCAATGTTTTCAGTGGAAGGATTCGCGGTTTCACAAAACCTTCGACCTCGAGCAAACCAATTAGCGGGCTCTTCGTAATTGCCAATGCTAGTCGTATCCGAATGTCCAAATGATTTAACGGAGCCAGCGAACGTATCTTCTTTGTCGATTTTGCTTTCTACGGAATCCAGCATTGCATCAAGCTCAAAAACAATGTCTTCGAAGGAAGGCCTATTATCAGGATCCGCATCCCAACATTTTTGTATGAGCGACTGCAATCGAGCCGGCACGTTCAATTCAGGACCGGCGAGAACGGGTCTCAGGCCTTGCGACACCACAGCAGCCGTAAGTTGCTGTTCAGTGTAGTGCATTTCCAATACCGTATGGGCCTAAACTCAACGTACACAACAAGTCAACGCATTCAATGATAAATATTAATGGAAGCAACGGCATTATGAAATACAAGCGAAAATGTAACCTGTGCCTCTGCTCGAAGATCAGTATACGGTACTACGCCAGTAAGAAGTTCGCTAGAAAACAAAATATGCATCGAGTTATTCAAATGATCATTAGTACTATGCTCGATGCTTTTGTGTATTTATAAATAATGAAGCCGATTAAACCTTGTCCTTACTTGACAGTAACGCTAAAACTATAGACATCCGATTTTTCAGTATGAATCGCTTTCTGTAGTACCTCGGGCGCCATGTAAATCAGCGTTCCAACCATATTCTTTTTATGGAAACCACCGGTTGGTTTTCCGGCGGATTTCCAGTTCGAAACAGAGACTTGTTTAAGATCGTTCTTGTATTCAGCCAAGCCAAAGTCGGCTAGATGGGGATGAAGATTCTTCGTAAGCTGCATCACATCGAAAAGCAAAAGTACGAGACAAAATTAAATACAAAATTTTAAAAAAGAAAATTAGCTACCGAATTTAAAGGTGAAATCCATCATCAATTCCAATGCATCGAGAAGCTATTAAGAAACATTACAAGAATATTTGCTGGTTTCACGTCGCGATGAACGACCCCAAGGTTATGCAGATAGAGCAAGGAATTTGCTGCAACACGAATGTTTATGAATTGTAAATAGAAAAACAACATGAATTCGAGTTTATGAGTTTATTGCATATTAGAATTGTATATATACATTTTAAAGAACATGTGCACAAAAAGGAAATAAGATTCTTCCGTAAACAACCTATTAGCTAATGAAAGTCGATTCCAAGTTTATACAGAGAAAAGAAGAACAGTAGAATGACATCGCGAAGAATGATAAGAACAAATCTAATAAAAAAATAAATCCAAATCAACTCCATAACCTGAATGATCATATAACAACCACCAATGTCGTATTACGTATGTCTGAATTGAATAAGGTCAACCGTACTTATTCATAACAAGTTTCCAGTTTACATAAACACTTTTTGAACTTTTAGATCTATTTATCAACAATAACTTTTTCAAAACAATTTCATACCAAATATATATATATTTTTTTCTCTAACAAAACATCATATCATTTATTCAAAATTTCCAAAACTTCTATCTAAACTGAGAAATTGCATTCTCTTAAGCACAATGTTGATGTTCTACATCTACATCAATCAAACAAAATGGGCCCCATATAAAGCTATAACATCAAATTTGTGGCGCATGATCATCATCAACATAGATATTTCCCTTAGTTATAATAGCAACAAATCTGCCGCTTTTTATGTGATTGATCTAATCATATACATTAAATGACATAAATGCAATCCGAAACTCAAAGATAGCAAGACTTTACCTAATTGTGAAGAGATTTTGATGACTTGGGCGACGTTCAAACTCTCTTCTTCCACGTGTAGTTTCTGCAAAAGGTTTCCGGCCTCATAGAGCTCAAAAAAAAACATATAGTTAGGCGGCTTGGCATGCGCCGCCAGCAGCTTTATTATCCCCGGATGATCCAACTTGCTTTGACGACACAATTACCACACAAATGCATACGCATTAATAACAATGAAGACAACAAACAAATGACACACAACAACCTAAGAATTGTGTGGTAGACAACGAATTCTAACAACATTTCACACGAAGGATTGTAAGAATTCCTAAAAAGCAATTGAATTCCAATACAACTGCATAGCATTAACTTAAGAACACACATATATATACAAATATGACACTTTAATTACACACGCAATTTCTCCAAAAATTTCGATCACCTTGATAACTTGTTAATGCACTTTCCAAAATATCTTTACTTTATGTCACAATCTATAATATGATATTAATTAAAACTTGTGACAAGATCATATGAACATAATTTTCTTTTTCTTTTTGAAAAGAGGGAGTATTGTATGTTCCAACTTAAAATTTTTTACCCGATTCCCAATTAATTAAAAAATAATACAATACATAGAATATTACTTTTTATAATATCGACGGCTTCCCCATAATTAACATAGAAAAAGAACTTGAAAACCCAAAGTATGTGTTTGTTGTGGGGTTTGAGTTTGAGTAGATAAATTTCAACTAAAACCTGTTGTTGTTCGATGTGATATAAATAATCGTCAATGTATTGTTTTAAATATAAAATTATTTTTAATGTAATAAAACAAAAAAATAGTTCGATTTTGATGTAGTTGTTCAACCTTGATTTTTGTGTAGAAAAAAGAAAAATAATGAATAGTAAAAACATAAAGAATAAAGAAAAGAAAAGAACTCACAACCAAGTGATTTCAACACTGTTCACCCTAAAACAAATCGCCATTTCAAATCAATATCAAACCCACAACTGCAATTCAAGATTCACTACTTCCATGCCAACAAGCCTTAAAATTAAAGTAGAGTACTCGACTTGAAAAATGAATTACGGATTGAAATAGCGCAATTGCAGAATTTGAGAGTTGAAGGGAGGAACAGATTAAAACCTGAGCAATTGCAACTCTTTGTGGAACTTATCAAGATCATCGGATGTAGACAGCACTGGTTTTTTTATGGCTACCTTTTTCCCATCCAGAATGCCCTCGTACACCACGCTCTCTGCACCTGCACCACACCACGGAAACAAACACCTTTCAGAAATAAATAAATAAAAATAAAACCCCCAATTGACACAGAGATTGAAGAAGCACCAAACTGTGGTTTCGGAATGGAATACCTTTGGCGATTGGCGAAGAAAGGGAATAGGATGAATGGAGGAGATGGAGCGGGATTGTTTCGCTACGGCAACAGCCTCGGACACAAGTGTTGGGCTCCACAATCTCCAGAACCATTCCTGTTTTCGATTCTGAAATTGAATTTGAATCTGAGCCTGAATCTGTGTCTCTGAAGGGGAATTTGGGGAGTGACGCACTGAAGCCGAAGCGTTTATTAATGGTGGCCCGGTTCGAATGGGATGATTGATTGGACTTCCCATCCGGTTCGGAACCGCCGGTTCGTCGGTTTCCAAACCGGCGGTTCAAACCAAAACTAAACTCGGTTCGAACCGTCATTGCAACGGTTGGGCGGCGACTGTTGGGTGTTGCGGCAGCCAACGACTGTGAAGGAGTGGCGGCGGCTGTAGAATGGATGTATAAGACAAAATTGTATTTTATAATAATAATATATTTATAATTTAAATTATTAGTCCATCTGTCCTTATCATTTAGCTCTTTGTAGCCACGATAATGAATATAATTAATAAATAATTAATAATATATTATAAAAAATAATTATAAATTAAAAATTAAAATAACTAATAAATTTTATAAAATTAAAAAATTTAAGTAAAATAAAAGTGTAATTTTTTTAAGAAAAAAAAGTCACAAAATAAATTGGACAGACAAAAATAAAAAAATAAACACGATAAGTGGGACAAAAATCACATATATTATTAAATTGTTATATCAGTCTATAAAAGATTACTCTTTTCTATATTTTATTATCTACAAAATATATTTGCATATATATTTTATTGAAATATGGTGATAAAAATATTTAAAATGCCAAAAATACTATTTATATAAAAATAATATCATAATTTAATACTAATAGCTTACTAATCTATATTATCTAAATTATCATGTGTCCCAAACCAAATGGATTATCTGATCGAATAAAAAAAATATTAAATATTTTACTATTTGTATATATTTAATATTTTAATAGAATTCTATATTCATATTTTAAATATTACACACCTATAGATTAAATTTGTTGAATTATTAATTTTTTTTGAAAATAAAATATATTATATTATATAAATACGTATTTTTTGTACAAATTATTATTTAACATTATAATAAATGATTTTACCATAATTATGCATAATCAATTACGTATAAATATCATTAAAAATTATAGTACTTTTGTCCGACTCTAAATTTATCATTTACTTTTTGCATGATGATATTTGAATATTAATTATTATATGAAAACATAGTATAAATTAAAAGAAAATGACAAAAAAATTTCTATTAGTGTCTTGTAATACTATTACAATAATATTTGTGCAAAAAATTATACAAATACAAAGATATTTTTAATGTTAAATACAATGACACAAAATGTAAATAAAACATTTAGAGTCGGACATATGGAATATATATCAATAAATACTTAATTACCCTAAATATAAATTATCAAATTAAAATATAAATATACAAAAATAAGTTATTTAAAAAGAACAAAAACAATTTCCAAGATAAAAACTCCTTTTCTCCCACTTACTTTTTTATATACTAATACTCATTCCGTCCCAATTTGTCTCGTATTTCTATTTTCGTATGTCACATATAATTTGTCATTTTTTTTTATAAATATAATTTTATACTTTAATCATATTTCTAAATTCATAATTTATAATTTTTTAAATTAAAATATTTAGTCATTTTAATTTATAATTATTTTTATCAAATCACAATTATTTTTACTAATATACTTTTTAATTAATTATTAATTATACCATACCTAAAGATCCGTGCTTGAAACTAAAAAAATAATTTAGTTGAGACAGAAGAAGAAGAAATAAATTTATTAGTGATATACTTTTTATTATTTATTAATTATAATTAACTTGACATCGACAAGGAAGAATCTAGATATAGGTTTGTTTGTTTGAAGGACTTGGAAGAATTTACATTATTCACACAAATTTATTTTTTTAAAAACATCAAATCAAATACTTATTTTTTATTTTTTATATTATATTAAATTTGATTTTATATTAAAAAACTTCATGTAATATTACTATTTCAATTCAAAATTTTTATTATTAAAATTCCAACTTAAAATCTAAACTACTGAACATTTTTCTGATGACGTGAGAACCCGCAGCCGCTACCCGATAGTGCGCACTTGATAAACTTCCGATCGAACCTAAAATCTGCAAACTAGGCCTGACAGACAAGTCACACTAGGCGAACCATGTGTGACAAGTGATCTGAGGTATCAAAGGTTTGAATCCATAACTTCACGGTCACATGTCCAATCCCTATATTTATTTATTTATTTTGAGTGAATAGAATGTCGCTTGTTTTATTTCGAAATCCACTCTTATGAGAGTTATGTCTATGTTAAAATAACAAAAAAGTAATCTAATCCATGAATTGTGAGCAAGAGTGAGGAACACCTACACTCTAATCTTATTGATTAAGAGCACAACGGTGTACACAAACAGCGAGATAAAAACAGTATGTACTCGCTACGGTCGCAAAGGACCAGATCAACAGATCAACACAATCAACACAGAAAGCAGCTGTGTTCTCACACGAACACACAAACTAGTTCACAGCTAATCATAAGCCAACAAATGATCAAAGGATGTAAAAGATAACAATATAACCAGATTTAAGCCATTACAGAGACAATCATCACTTTAGCTGCTTTCCAAAAGTCTGGTATACTGAACCTTAGATTCAATCATAGAAAGTCACCAAATCAACCTTGTAACCTGCGGAGGGAAAAGATATGAAAGAAGTAACACAATAATAGATGTAAGTGAGAAATTAAACGCAAATGAGATGAAGGAAAATAGATGCAGAGATCGATTTGAGAGCGAACGAAGGCGAAGACGAGGTGAAACGATTCAATTAATCGCGTGCAAAGAGATCGTGCACAAGTGAGGAAAGTGTATGAGATAGCAGTGAAACAATGGGAAGATGAAGTGTATTATGTGCTCTTTGTGTGAAGTAGGTGTATGGAGGAAGATTGAAAATGGAGATGGTGTGCACAGTGCATTCCTGTGAGTGAAGAGAGATGGAGGCGAAGTGAGTGATGGTGATGATTTCAAATTCTGTCTTATTAGGGCTAAAGGTATATATATATATATAAATATATATATGTATAGTATATAGAGTATAATGGGTCTAGTCCAATGTGAGACCAAAATGTAAGGCCCAGAAAAGTGTATCATGGTTTTAACAGTCTATACATTTCTCAACATTTGGTGTTGCTTGAATGCTTCCAATACGTCATTTTCTATGCTTCAATGTAGAAAATTGGTTGAATCAATGTGACAGATTGTCTATGTATTTGTCGCTCGAAAATTTTTATATCGCAAGAATATCAAATAATTATCGAAAAATAAAATTCGATATCAAAATAATTTATTGAAATAAATTTGATAATAAATTTAATTTTATCGAAATAGATTTGATAATCACGTCGAGTCGAGATAGAATCTCTTTCCGTAAAAACGAATATACCCCTGTAGTGTCTCCGGTTCGTGGCGTAACGTTCCAAAAGATAAAACGACGTTCGTCTCCGAATTAGGTGGCACCCCAGTATTTCGAAGCTCCGGTGAACTAAAATGAGGGGATTTAAGCTATGTCGGAAGGCTTGAGTAGAAGTGTAAGTGACCGGAATATTGACTGGAAACTTGCCGGGAATATTGCCGGAAACTTAGAGAGGAAAAGAGAGAGAGAAGAGAATTCTCTCTTTGGTTGGTGTGCCAAATGAAGTGGTGGAGAGGGCCTTTTATAGGCATTCCACCCCTTGAGAAATAAATTTTCCGAATCGAAACCGTCGGCTCTTAATTTTAGTAACGTCCGGTCATAAACACTAAATTTAATTTTGGAGCAGGGATGGAGAATCGGTTTTTGGGGTAGCTCATATCTTCGCCTCTTTCAACGACACCTTTATCGTGAGTACAACTCTCATGTATCTGCCTTGATATACAGACGATTGATGAATTTTATATAATTGGGGAAATTAGTTTCAGCACGTGACTGATCTTTCTAGTGTTAGGATTAAAAATTCAATTGTGATATTTCGAAAATTATTTGCATGTATGTAAAATCATAATTATAGATCCCTAATATTTAGAATCAGAATAATTATTGGCTCATTCCCATGAGGATTTTTTTTTTGTAAAATCAAGAATTTTGTTTCTAATTTATTTGTTACGCTGCATATTTTTTTATTTATTTTAATTAATTGATATGAATGATTATGTTCCTTGCTTCTGTTCACATGTTCGAATATAAATCCAAGTTCGAATAAATTTTTTGGAATCAAATTTATTCTGATCTGTTTGAGGATTTAATTAACTTTTGGGACACACTACTAGAATTTTTGTTAACAGCCTCAGAAAGTTGTATCGGAAATTCTATCTAAATCCGAAACCTATTTTTATTTAGCCTTGGACATTGCATGTCTCGGATATGCACCGGTAACAAAAATCTCGTCGATGTTTTGGATATCTCGGAATTTCTGAGACTAGTATAGTATGTCTCGGAAATTCCGAGACAATTTAGCTTCAGAATTTTTGAACTTATTTTTCGTAGGTTCGGAAATTCCGAGACTACTAAAAATAGCTTCGGAAATTTGAATAGTATCGAAATTTTCAAAGCAATTATTATTATTTTTTATATAATAATGTGTATGAGATGCTTATATGGATTTAATCAGGCCCGTTCTTGACATTTATTAGGTCCGGGGCAAAATTAGAATATTGGGCTCTTAAATATATTTCTTATATAATAATAATAATATAATATATATTTTTTAATATAAATATATTAATAAAATATTTTTTTATATATTAAAAGATTAAAATATAAATATAAAATTAATGTGACATATTTAGTATAACATAAAAAATTAAAAATAAATATTTGATTTAATATTTTTTAAAGAATATTTTTATAAACAATCAAACGTCTTTAAAAGAAAATTTTCAAACAAAAATATTTATTAAGGGTTTGTTTCTTTTGATTGGGGAAAATTTTGGTTTGAATTTGATATTAAGATAATGTTTGATGAAATATTTGTGAGAGAAAAACGCATAGTCCTAATAGTAGAAATTAGAAAGTTTAGAAAATAAACAAACTCAATGTTTATATAATACACAAATATTTAAAACTACTACTAA